GGCATATGGATGGCACACAAGGATCTTTTTCAGCTTAATTTTGGGTAGGACTAGTTACTGGAAATATGTGTGGCTTCTGCCGAAACCTCGCTCCCAGTTCTGGTCACCGTAAGAAGCAACAATTCTAGTAGAATGAAAGGAAGAAATGAGTAGAGGTATTGAGTATTGATGTTTTATGGTACTAGAAGAAAGTTAAATTGGATGAGTAATTTTAAATTCTAAAATGCTGCTTAGTAAATATAGCTTAGGCACTGAAGCCAAGTGGACTGCTCTCTAGCAGAGATCTTGGAGTTTTACACCTGTAGCAGTAGTAAATTTTTATTGTATCACTGCAGTGAGATTTGCACAACCACAGAAAATAGGACTAAGTAGAGTTCCACAGGAAAGCCCCATCTTTTTTCATACAATAATGCTATAATTTCTTCGTACTGTCAAGGAAGAGGGGAAGGGAAGTAGAAACTTCCTTCTACATAAAATGGAGTAGTGTCAAAACTGGCACTTCTATTCTGGATTTTATTTTAATGCTGTGTTTGTTGTGTAACTTGTTGCTAAACTTTTTCAGCAGAAAAAAATATACTCTTCATTGTATTAATGGGGCTTTTGAATTTTAGGAGACTTTTAAGATGGTAACTTTATTGTTGTGCACTGTCCCAAGTAACTGGTATGACCTCTCTGTCTGGGGCTTGTTAAGAGAATGTAAAATGCTTCTATCTTCTTCACTGAAATCAAAACTCTGATTTATTGTTCACTGAATCGGCTAATCTTCATATCTTTTTACTTCTTTATGCCGAAATCTTCATAGCTGCCCCATAGCATAAGAAACCTCAACTTCCCACAGCCAATTCTGTTGCTGTTACTGCCTCTCTGATAACATATTAAATTGGGACCAAGATGTAATGCATTTGCTACCAAAATATCAAGATGAAGAGCTGCACTGATAATCTTACAGTGACACAAAAAGAAGGGAAAACTCCAAATTACCTGTCTTCGATTCTGAGTGTGATGATGCTTTGTTTCATTTCACTTTGCCTGAGTTTTCCTTGAAAGCACTGGTATTTGTAGTTGAAATTCTAAGCATCAAAGCCATTTGTCATTTTAGAAACACTCATATATCTCTACCCAATCTCCCTAGATTTATACAAGGATGTCCTGCAGGTGTTGTTTTTTATTTATTTATTCGTTTCAGCATCAAAAGGTCATTCAGGCCCTTTAAAAAGACTTTCCTGAGCTTAATCTTGGCTGTACTGGGCAGCTGGGTTCTGTGGATGCTGTGTCTTGCCTGAATGGTCTGGGAGTGGAGGAACTCTGAGGAACTGTCTGTGGAGGAACCAGTGTCCGTATTTATAGTTTGGGAGCCGGTGACGGTGGCAGTACGTGTCCCTGGCAAAGCTGGTAGGAGGAGGGAGCTTGTCTCTCATGTTGGAGAGCTCTGAACCCTTGTAGATCATATAATCATAGAATGTCAGGGGTTGGAAGGGGCCTCTAGAGATCATCTAGTTCAACCCCGCTGCCAGAGCAGGATCCCCTAGGGCAGCCACACAGGAACGTGTCCAGGTGGGTTTTGAAAGTCTCCAGAGAAGGAGACTCCACAACCTCTCTGGGCAGCCTGTGCCAGTGCTCTGTCACCCTCACAGTAAAGAAGTTTCTCCTCATGTTGAGGTGCAACTCCCTGTGTTCTAACTTAAACCCATTATTTCTTGTTCTATTACTGGGCACCACTGAAAAGAGATTGTCCCCTTCCCCTTGACACCTGCCCCTCAGATATTTCTATACGTTAATAAGGTCCTCTGTCAGCCGTCTCCTTTCAAGGCTCAACAGCCCCAGTTCTCTCAGTCTCTCTTCACAGGAGAGATGCTCAAGTCCCTTAATCATCCTCGTAGATCTCCGTTGGACTCTCTCCAGTGGGACCCTGTCTCTCTTCAACTGAGGAGCCCAAACCTGGACACAGTATTCCAGGTGTGGTCTCACCATTGTATTAAGGCTGGATGCCAGTATGCAGCCAGAGCAGGTTATGGACTAGTAATGACTTGAGTTTCCGTTATATAGTAAGGCTTCTTCATTTTATGTATTTTACTTTTTCCAGCTTGACCTAAAGTTTCACTCTGTTTTAATAATCCAGGCTTGCAAAGGCATGGTTTATGATTGCAAAAGGATAGTTCATGGTGACATCCAGATAAATGGCTGCATTTCCTTACCCAGGTATAAGATGTAGAAAATAATCCTACGTGCTACTTCTGTACCTCTACATCCAGCATAGTCCTTGTTCAGGAAGCACAAGCATTCCTTTCTTTCACGAACTCAGGGTTTATTTGATGCGATGGTAAAATGAAAAATCGACCTCTTTACGGAAACAGGAAATCCACTATTCAAAACAAGTGAAAACCACATCAAGTTATTATTACCGCTGTAATGAGGCAACCGGTGGTTCCAGAGCTCTTACCACAATGGAAAACTATGTGTATATAGTTTCAGAAGTTGAGTGATGTTTGCTGGTATGCTTGTCTAGTGTTAGAAAGATGGGGAAGCCTGAATAAAGAGTAAAATAGTGTTTATCAATATTTTTATGGAATTAAAAAAATTTGCTTGTTGGTAGAAGTAGCTGGCTACTTTTGCTGCAACACATATTTGATGCCCCATTGATTCCAAGCATTTACTTTATGGCAAGCATTTGTGTAGGTTACTATGAATAAACATAAATACTGCTCTGTACGTGTTGCCCTTCCACTGACATGGAGATGTATTACCTTACTTTGGAAGTCTGCACACCCTTCTGCTTTGCATAGATGGCTATAGGAGATGCAAGGCAACCTTCTTGGGAGAGGCAATTTAGAGGAGAGAAAAAGGTCTTTGTGCAAGTTTACGGTATAGTCTGGATGTAAATGGGCAGAATTTGGTCCTGTAAGTTTTATCGTCTGCACTATTGAGGCATCATGCTTTCCTTTCTTAAGAAAATAATCTGAAAAAACCCTTTATGTTTTCATTGTTAAACTTTTATATTTTTGTAATGAGCAAAAATATAGATGAAACTTGCTTCTTTAGCCCTGCTTTTTTTAGTTTTCCATTGTTTGCCCTCTAGACCTCACTGTTTCTGCACCCTTTTCTTTGTCCTTTTTTTAATAAGGGACGCTCCCAAAGAAGTACTGCATTGAGTTTTTATGCTAATCTCGCTTCTATTTCAATTCATGTTGACTTGGAAAATATACCTTGTAAATAGGAGTACCAGCTGACATACTGAATATAATCCTCAGTGTCTAAGCAGTGATTGTTTTTGCAGCATCCTTAAAGGGTAAGCTGTCTTACTATCCAAATATCATGGCTGGGAAACTGAGGCTAACAAAGGCTGTATGGTTTATGTCAAGCCGCAGAGGGAATAAATGTTGGGTTTAAAATTCCTGGCTTCTGCTCTTGTGTTTGGACTCGCGCCGCCTCTGAAAGCAATTCTTGATTCCTCCTGGTATTACGTACCCTTCCATGTCTGTTAAATGTAGCCATTCGAAAAGAAGCTGGTACTCAATTCTCTCTCTGTCTGTCCTATTGAAACTAACGGATGCCTGCAGGCAGACGTAAGGTATCGTTACCTTTGACAGCCGATGTGTTTTATGTTTTAAATTATGTGTTAGGCAGAATTTTTGGATACTAATTTGATGTAATGAGATGCGCTTCTAATATCAACCCTAGTATGGGAAGGCCTTGCAGCCAGCCTACTCTTTATTTAAAATTATTCCATTTCAGATGTCCTAATGAGTGCTGTGAGTTGTGTAATTCTTTCATAATTTTCCCACATTCCCAGAAGAGAACTAGGGGCTGGAGTTGTTTTCTATTTTTGTTTTGGTTTATTTCAGATTCGGGTGCACACAGAATAAAGATCTAGGGCAAGAGTTTTGCAAAACAGTTGCTATTGTGAGAATGGCAATTAAGGAAAAAAATATTATAGTCTACAAATGTTAGCGTTAAGGCAAGTCTAGATGCCTCCACTGTTTGCCATTATCTTATAAATATTTTGACTCTGACTTTACAGTGCTGTTTATAGAATTTAATAAAGCAAATGTAATAATGCTGCCTGTGCTTTAATGCACAATCTCAATTGAGTTGACCAGAAGATAAATAGGAACAGGAATGATAGTACGTTCCTACAGATTGTTTTTAATAAGCATGTTATTTAGTTGATCAGCTCGGTGCAGTAATGCCTCCCTATCCTGCTCTACCAGACAAATTTATTAATGTTTCCCCCCTGCCCCCCTCCCCCCATTTCTCTGAGAACATTGATTCCCTGCAGACATATCTCTATTAAACCTCTAGAAAGTCACAACTTCCAAATTAGATTAAGTAGCGGGAATGGTACTAGAAGAATCAAAGAAAATTGAGTGCGTTATTGAATTCATGCCACATTGTCTCAGGAAGAGATAGGAGTTGTGTGTGGTGGTAACTTTTGTCCTTACTGTACTAACAAAGCTGTGGGCATTGCTGTCAAACCTAATTGTCTGGGGCGCATCAGGAGAAAATGAATCTTTTCTCTTATCTAAACTCGTACCTAGCGAGGTTTTATAAATGAGAAACAGATTTCAGAAGGGAGCTTTACAGTTGATCAGAATCATTTGCCATTATTTGCCGTACACAACCTCGTCATAAACGCCCGACTGACAAAAATTTTTAAAGAGCATCTGGCTTTGGATTGTGAGCAGGCTTGCTTGTCGTGCTAGCAGTTGCAGAATGCGGATACCCATTTTAAAGCTGCCTATTTCTCATTTTGATCTGACATATTAAAAAGCATATAATTAATGGTTGACATTAGTAATTAACATTAACTTTATGGTGCTTAATATGCCATCATTCATCCATCAGCTAACTAGTATGCATAATGCCTTTCCATAGAGGTCCTAATTGCACAAAATGATCCTTGAGTTTTCAGGTTCTGGGGCATGAAGGAGTTGTAAGCGTGTTTTTAAAAGACGTGGGGTTTTCACCTCTTGAAGGTAAACACTGTTTTTGTTTCTCCCCAGGAGTGTGCACAAACGTGTGAGCCAGGGACTTCAGCCGGGGAACGCGGCCGCAGAGGCGCAGCTTCCATCGGCGGCTAAAGAGCACCACCTTGCTGTCGCCAACGCTCTCTGGAGAAATTTTTTTCCCTACTTGAAGAGCCAGAGAATGTCACAGATGCCACCTTCCCCACAGCTCGCTGATACAGCCGCAGGTTAGCATCGGCCCTCCCTGCGGTTTGCTGGGTTTGATGCTATTTTCTGCGTCCCAAACTCGCAAAGATTTTTGCGCTTTTGGGATGTTTCTGCTTCCATGCGGTAACTTAAATATGCATAGATGCAAAAAAAGTAGATTCTATGCTAAATATTTTGACAAGGAGAGATATTGTAGTGTTGAATTACTTGATAGAATACAAACAGATTGAGAACTCCAAAGAGGTTTGAAGCTGTACAAGCCTTTTTCTTTACTAGTCACAGATTATAATCAACGTTGCAAATGTTGCACAATATAAATAATAATAGCCCATTTTACAATACCTAGAATTTACATGTTTTTGTAAAAGTTTATTATAATTTTATGTTGAACTATTCATTATGACTGCAATTCAAACTAATTTTTTTCCAATAGTATTTTACGTTTTAAGACAATTTTTAAAAGATTCATTATTTGATTTGGTTTTTGCTGAATCCTTATGGTCATGGTCATAAAGCTATTTCATAATTCATTTTAGTTATTCATCTTGCTTTACACAGGAGGATTTTAATCTTGAAGTACAGCATTCCCCATGTATGTGAACTCCACATGCAACACGTCAGCCTGGCAGTGAATAGAAAGAAATTCCAGTTTGATCTTTAACATCAGTAGCTAGCATTGTACTCTGTAGTTACAACAAAACCTTTTACCTGTTTAACTAAGATTTAGAGAAGTGAAATATGATTTTTTTTTTCCCATCATGATATGAATTAGGTAAAGTTACAAGCTTAGCAGTAGAAAAGTTAAAATACATTTATTTGAAGCCGCCTCGCAGCAGTTAGTAGGTAACGCTAATGAAGGAGGCAGCGAGCAGCAACCGTGGTCTCACACTGCTGAGGCACGTGTGGGCAGCAGCAATACAAATCAAAGAAAGGGGTTGTCAGTGTCAAAACTTTCATTCATTTCCTACAGCGTCCCGTCTTTTTATTTTGAAATGGCAAGAAGAACAATCTGTTACAAACTCCTCTCAGAAGCCGGGGAGTGCAGTTGTTGCTCTACAGAGAGCTGTGCCCAGCAGTGCTACAGAGACGCTGCTGCCTCAGCCTTTTCCCTTGGAGGCTGCAGCCCCGGGGAGAGAGCGGCTCTGGCAGCTCTCCTGCTCCCCCTGCCAGGCACACAGCCTGCGACCCGCTTTAGCCTTCCAGTCTCCCATTTCTCTCCCACCCGTGTTATGAGGCTGTAGAAATAAAGTGATAATCGGGAAGAAGTCTGGCACAAATTACTTCCTCACCTCAGGCAGAGCAGGGACTCTGTGCGACCTTCTGTTTTATTCCGAGGCACGTAAGGAAACGTGAAAACCGTCATAGCTTAAGGTTCTCTGTCCCTGCACCTTTCATTAAAATAGCTCCCTTGTTGTTTCTGAAAACTAACCTTTTCTGCCTAATTCAAAGTCAGCTTCTCCATACTTGCAGTTTTAGAAATCATTATTTTAATAAGATAATTTTGTATTTACCTTGAACTGAGAACTTGCGAACGAGCGAAGCCCTTCATTTCATTGCCATCCAAAGTCACTTTTCCTGAACTCATTTGATGCCTCTCATTTCCTTTAACCTAATAATTGCTCAGCTTTTCAGATTATGTTTTCTTCCACAGTTTAAATGCATTTGTCATTTGCAGTATAAAGAGTGTGCTGTATTTTTGATGCTGGTAGTGTTAGATATAGAATCTACAGTAGACCTCACAGAAACAGGAAAAGGTTTCATTAACAAAAACTCTGTTCAAAGTACTCTTCCAGTGTGTAGACCTGCAAATGCTAAATGAAGATCCTTTTTTCAGGAGTAAGCCTGACTGTAGTAATTTATGTACACTGTATATTCTGATACGTGAAAGTCTATTCTAGAAATAGAAAGATACTAGTTTTAACTGAGTGAATTCTTTCCAAATGCAGTTCTTCATTTTGAGAACTCTGTAAAAACAACTAAGCAAATAAATAAAACTCAGCCCTGTAAAGCACAGCAGTACTTCTGTGTACAAGGGAAGAAGTTGTGGATGGAGGCAAGAAAGGGAAGCCAATAAGACAAAAACCTAGGTTTTTAAGACATGTTTTTGATTGCATAAACAGTAGAGCTATGTCTTCAGGATTTATAATCTGTGCTTTCATGAATATATTTGAAACTGCCTGTGATTGGATCCTTTCTCCTTCCTTTGCATTCAGAGTGTCATGTTGACTTACAAACTCCTTGGGACAGATATTTCGTTTTAGCATGTGTACAAACCCTATCTGTTAGACTAGATGCTCAGTTTTGAGATTTCTGGTACTCCCAAACTGCACGTTATAAATCATAATTAATTTTAAGTGCTTTTTAGTGAACAAGGATGTACTGTTAACACGGTGTCATGTTTTTCTCTCTTTAAAATCAGGTTTTACTCTCTTAGCTTTGGATATGCCCAGCAAAGCCCTCTCAGATCTCCAGCCACAGCCTGTCCTGTCAATGATGCAGCTGTTTGGATGGGATGACATGGTGTGGCCTCAACTGGTGTCAAGATATCTAAGTCACCTAATTGAAAACAGGTGAAGAATTGAGACTGCTTTTTCTTCCTGTACTCTTTCATTCCTTCATTAGATTTGTGGCAAATGTTGCTTCAAAAAGTAACGTTTCATTAAGATGGTCCAAATTCTTTGCATCTGTTAGAGTTTTCTTGAAACTGTAGTTACAGTTATAGTATAGGGATAGTGAGTGTTATTTGGGTTGAGTTTTTTACTTGTTTTTATGTATAATTAGCTTAAGGTCTTAAAAATTTACCAGAGAGGTGGGTAAATATGTTGAAAAAGTTATTTATCTGTTATATTGCTAACCATTCATTTTTTCCCAATGAAAACAGAGTCATTAACAAAAAGTTTAGGAAAATAGGTACCTAGAAATACATCTTCAGAGAAGTACTTCCTTGAAGAGCAATACTGCATCAAAGTGAAATGCATAAACCCATGGCCTTTTCTTTAATTAGCATAGTTGTAGTTAGTCACCCCCTTCTATTGTTGTTACTCTTGGGCAAAGTTTTTACAGTTTGGCAAGACAGTAGTAGCTTCTGCAGAAAGCTGAGGAGGAATTGAAAGTATTAGGAAATGCATGCATTGAAACTTTCTTTCTGACAACCTTGGAACACCTTCTGGGTGCATATTTTTGTTCACGTAGCTCAAGTTTCTGGATGATTTAAATAATGGGCTTTTGTAGAGTATTTATCACCTTCCCGTGTTTTACATGCCAACATTAAATTTTCACAGAATTCTTTAGGTTGGATGTGGCCCTTGAGATCAGCTACTTTAATTTGTACAATGCTTCTGCTCAAGTACGGTCAGCTAAAGCAGATTTCCCAGGACTCTGTCCAGCAGTTTTTTATATACCTGACAAATTTTATTTGCTTTAAGTAGGTCTCTATGAACTTAAGATAGATGGATGGTGGTGGTTGTTGTGGTGTGGATTTTTTCCCCCTTGCCCTGCTTCTGAATCAGGCTTTGGAAGCATGGGAGGTGAGAGATGAGAGGGAGTGTTTCTATGTTGGACTGCATTTGAAAGTGAAAAATGTTGCACATTTTTAGGGTACATATTGTACTAAGAAACATAACTGTAAATCCGGATATGGTAAAGACTATTTCAGTGTAATCAGCAAAGATGAGGCTATGGCCTTCTTGCAGGGAGATGCTGAAGGAAGTTCAATTTAGTTCCTCCTGTGTCAGTTTGGAACTTGGGAGAGGAGTGTTCGTTCTCTATCTGCCGTATTTCTCCTGTATGATATTTATAGGGCGAGTTTCATGCAAGGTTGCAGATACCTAGCATGTGATGAATGAAATAGGAGTTAAGCACATAAATACCCATTTATAATTTGAAGATTTTTGCTCTTCAGGTGAGATGAAGAAGAACATTTTGGTGCTTAAACTGGAATTTTGGTATATTTTAAGTGCTCAAGGCTTATTACCAGTTCCATCAGCAAACACTATGTGACTGGAAGGAGTTAATTTAAGTATATGTGGCTAGTACCAAGTTCCCCATGCAGCCCTGTTGCCATAATTCCATCTAAAAATGTAGTTAGTACATTTCTATGAGTATAGTTAGTATTACCTGGTGTACATTACTTGAGAAGTTGGAGCACTTGTGTGAGAGTTTGAAAATCTTAAGTTAAATGGGTCTTGCACTCTGAGGCAATTCACACCTTTACTTCCAGTACCGCCTTAGAAAGGAATGAGAGGACCTTGCCCTCCTCTGGCAGGTTGTGTCATGGACTGACTGCAAATATTGGGTTCATGGATCCACGTTGAGAGAACTAGCAGGAGAAAGCATGACTCCATAGTCAAGTGATGATGGATATTTGTCTTTTGCTTGTCTGTGTGTGTTTACAAAGGTGTGTAGTGACAGGACAAGGGGCAACGTTTTTAGACTAGAGCAGGGTAGGTTTAGACTAGATGTTTAAAGAAATTCTTTGTATGAGGCTGGTGAAACACTGGAACAGGTTGCCTGGGGAGATGGTGGAGGCTCCAACCCTGGAGACATTCAAGGTCAGGCTTGATGGGGCTCTGAACAACCTGATCTAGTTCAAGATGTCCCTGCTCACTGCAGGGGGTTTGGACTAGATGACCATTAAAGGTCCCTTCCAACCCGACGGTTTCTGTGAATCCCTGTTCTCACTCTTTCTGGTTCTCTCTCGTATATCCTTGTGCGCTCTCAATCTCTGCTTTTCTGAATCTTCCATGAATCTTCTTCTGAAGCATGGGACCTTCTGTCCACAGAAGCAAATATTTTTGCCCCTAAGCTGTTGCAGTTGCAATTGTGCAGCCTCAAGGAGAATTTTCTGTTTCTCCTATCAGTTGCCTCAAGGCCAACAAGGTGAGAACCGAAGTGATCTGAAACCAGGTGAAGGTATGTCCATACCTCATTAACAGAGCTGTAAGATGCTCGGATTTCCTTGTGGAAGGGCTACAAGTACCTAAGATAAGACTTTTTTGGTAGAATTGTACAGAGGTATTGTACTCTAAACACTGTCATTTTATAATATGCTAATAAGATGCCAGTTTTTTGTAGCATGATTTGTGTATTTATTTACCTTAGGCAGTTGTAGAGCAAAAGTTATCAAAGTATCTAAGTACTGGGATCTTAAGACTTCATGGTTACTGCAGTCTGATAATTTTCAAATCAAACATTCTCAGTTAAAAAGTAAAAAGATTATTTTGTTGCTGATGCTGTTTTACACCCTGCAAGCTCTGCCTGGTCTCTCTGAGATTGAAGCTTGTTCTGCATATCAGCTATGTCAATAATAAAGGTTCTGATGGACAAGCTGTGCCCTTGGGAACATGCACACGAGATTTGGCATTTCTTTTTTGGCCATGCCTAAAAGTTTCTCTCCAGATTCACGTTGTGTAGTGCATCATAGTATGATAACCTGTTTAAACTAACTTTGAGCGTAAGCTTACTGGTTTAAAAGGACCACTTGCCGTGCTTCTAGCAGGTGTAATTTTTGTTCTTTCCTTTCTTAAGAATAAAAAGCATATTCCTTTCCAGTTTTAAGAAGGTGCCTAAGTGGCCTGCCTGCCAGCAAGGAAGAGAAACAAGAGTGAGACTACAGCAGAAAGTGTTGTTATGAGGCTTTGGGGCCGGGTAGATGAGCTGTGTACAGCAAGGTTACGTACGGCTGGAATTGTTTATACATTACCGCAAAGAGCATTAAGTCCATAGACATCGTATTTTTTTTTCCCTTTTTTACTGGAATTTATTTTCTATTTTTTATATTTCATTTGCTTACATTTAGTTTACGTATTTATTTTGTCAATAGTACTTCAGCAGGGATGTTCAGACAAAGTATACAGTTGTCATTGGTTTTAACTAAATGAAACAGGAAAAAAACACGTGTTATTAATGTTGTTTAGGGAGAAACAGAATTCACTTTGGCTGCTGACTGAACCTGTGTTGACTTTCTGTTGCAAGCATGAGGAAAAATTCAGTAGAAAATAAGTAGATTTATATGTACATATATCAAGAAAAGAGTACGAGCATTTTTCATTAAAGTTGAAGCACCTAGGACTGACCAGGGAGGAAATCTCTCAAATAAAAAGGTGTAAATATTTAAATATTTTCAAGAAATTTCACTGACCTGAAGCACACACAGCGCTCATCTGGTAGGAATTAGAAACAGAATGCAGAACAAACCCACTGTCCGTTTACAAGGAGTTTCTGCAGAATTACTGATGTGGAGCTGATATGCTTGGGTAAAAGTGACTGCAGCAGCTACTCACAGTGCTAAGGTGAGTAAAACAGTGGAAATACTGACCAGCAGAGTACAGGGATTGTGGATCGGGTGTTGCTGGTGCCATTGACGCCGGCCTGACACCTGACTGGTACAACGAGGGTTTGGTTGAAAGTATATACGGTGAGTTTGCTCTGCGTGGGAACGTACGTGCTGGTGTGCGGATCCGTACACAGATACATACGTCTGTAAGCCTACGTCAAGTATAGCAGTTTCCTTTCTCATCTCCGAGGTGCCTTTTTATGTTTCCCTTTTTGATCTATTTCTAACATAGCATGTCTTTATTTGCTAGAGCAGACCTTCTCTCCTCCCTCTTTTATGTAGTTAGAACTAAGCAGACTTCAGAGTCACGTGGGGCACCTGAGCCAGCTTTCTGTGAAAGGCTGGAGTAGCTTAAGCAGTGTCAGTATGAAGTTCCAGGTTGGTCCAGCTTAAACTATTTGTAGCGGTGTACACCATCAGTTTAGGCGTTATCCACTGTTAGGATAAGACTCTCATTATGTGAATTTTTCCCCTTCTGTTTTGCTTTATGTAGCGAAAATGTGTGTATGTTGTATACAAGCTTTTATCTTACCATGTGTGGTGTCACCAAATTTATCGCATTCTCTGCATTTAAGCATCAGGATATAGTGAGCAAAGTCCATAGATTACACAAAAGGAAGGCCAGTTGGCCTTTCTGCTACTTCCTTTCTAATTATTTCTGCACAGTCTTTCCATATGCCTACAGCCAAATGAGACATTCTGACACCTTTTCGCATACTCACGTTAGATCTCTTTTACCTTTTTCTTCTTCTACCTTCGCAGTGCACTCTGTGAGGCTTTCTCTAGTATGGGATACACATCCTACGAAGCTTTGACGGTACGTTCTTGGTTTCGATGCATTTTGCAAATGTTCATAGATCAACCGAGTGGCATGCTGGCCAAGACAGATGCTGAGCGAACAGTTGGTAAGTGCTCACATTTCCCTAATGTTTGCAGTAACGATTCTATATTGCAAAACTGGCAAACGTTTTCAGCTAATTACAAAATGTATTTTTGTTTGTATTCCTTTACTTTTACCTAATTACAAAATGTGTTTCTGTACGCTGCTTGTGCTATTTATTGATAGTTTGCCTGCTCTGCATATGACAAATTTATCACAAACAAAGATAAAAGAGCTTGTTTCCTTGGAAGCAAAGAACAAAAACTTGCTCCCAAGGAGACAAGCTATTTTTCCCCCATGGAGAAGCTGCTCTGAAAAAAGTGAAAATCTGAAGTAAATAGTCAGAAATCATGCTGTGAATACCCTAAAAGAAAAAAAAAAGGGAAAAAATCCAGTTGCAAGTCATACTGCTTTTTCTGTAATGACTCTTTTTCCTTTCTCAGAGCAATACTTCATCACTTCTTCTGTAAAACGCTGCAGTTCTTTGTTGAATACATCTTGTAGCAACCATTTTTCATATGCATTTTGTAGAGTCTGAAGAAAAACATTAGTAGAATGAAAGACTTGATTATACATACTTAATACTATTCATTCTTGTATAGCTGTATTAGAAACAAAACCTAGTTTAGACACATTCTTTGTCTAGAGAGATGATTTTGGTACTAAAGTCAAAAAGTTTAACTGTACACTAGATTTACTGCTTTGCTCTCTTGTAACAAATAGGGAAAGCCTATATGGAGCAGCTGACTGAACTGACAAGACTGATTTTTAAACTCTCGGAAGTAGAAAACATTCTTTCCAAGGCTCATGGTGAAGAGTCAGTTCTCAAGCAAGACCCTAAATATGCTCTTGTCCAGTTCATTAAGGTACGGTACTGCCTTAGCTTCATAGGACAGTGTTAGGGCAAAGGGATTATATATGGGATTTTGTTTGGTGTACGAAATTATTCTCGCAAACCTTTTAAGAGACTTGTTAAGTTTATTTATGTTTTAATGTTTCTGTTTTCTCAGGCTGTTGGTAAAACTTACAGTGGCCTTCAGACTCTCCCTGAGAAATCTGCCATGGTAGCAAAGTCTCTGGAGTATTTAGGTGATGTATTAAAGTATGTAAAACCTTATCTGAAGGCAAAAGGACCTCCAGAAGGTCTGCAGCTTACGTATTGGATCATAGGTAATTATTGCAACCTTTTTTTTTTTTTTTTTAGGAAATAGTTTTAAGGAATCAGTAAAATATGATTTTTTCCTCTCTACTGTCCATCTTAATAGTTTTAAAAAAAGCAAAATAACCAAGATATTAGTTATTTAATTTTGTTCTACTATTTTTCTTTGATTTTTATCCTGATGCCTAACCTCCTTATGGGTTTTTTGTTTGTTTAATTAACTCTGCAAATCAGTGTTCTCAAAAGTAAGATATCTTCATGTCTTACCGCAAAAACCCACCTGTTTTATCTAAACAAAACTAGAAAGCATACAAGGAAGCAATGTGATGGCATGCTACATTGTATTTACTGGAGGTTATGACAGGGGAGAGGTTAGCTTAGGAACTTTTTAGAACTGCTCCTCTTACACGCTGTGCTTTATTAAACCTCAAATTCTAGTATTTGTTCATGAAAGTTTAGAAACACTGTTAGGATGGAAAAATAAGAATGCTGTTTATTATGAGTGAACGTGCCAATCTGATCCACTTATCTTTAAAAATAGGGTAAACCTTATGTCTCTTAAAGACAAAGTAATGATTTACGTGTACACGCAGAATATAATGCAATTGTAAGGAGTACAGTGGAAAGCATAACCATAATGTGGAAGATGCATCAAATGTAATGGAATTTGAGTTTTGTAAAACACTTTACGCTTCTATTGCAAGATCTGCATATATTGATAGAAAATATAAATGCTTTTAGATATCTAGATGTTGAGATGAAGCACTGATAACTTTAGATTGGAATTTTCTTTTCGGTTCTTTGCAGTAGGAGATGATTAATCTTCAGTTGTGGTGTTATGTGTAAGAAATTGTTCTTCTTAGTTAAGAAATCATAAAAACATTTTAAAGAAAAAAACTATTTAAGTGTATTTCAGTCACTTCATATTCTGTGGGCTTGTAAGGACAAAGAAAAAAATCTTGCAAATCTAAACACCTCCTGTCTGTGATCAGATTGTGTCTTCTACTGTCCCATACATCACAGCAGCGATAATCTGAGGAGTACTTCTGCAGGAAGGAGCATGTTTCTTGCAAAACAGGAAGCTCCGACCGCATTATTAGAAGTATTGTTAAGTGATCTTTTTCCTGTGATTGATCGCTGTGTTTTCTTTCAGTCCACAAGATTAATTTTGTTTTGCATTGTTTTTAAGAGATGGTAACGGATGGCTTTTATAGATTAATAATATCTTTTAACAGCCTACTTCTTATCCTTCATTATTTTCAAAGTCTTGAACATATTTTCTTGGGTTATTCCTGTATTTTCAACCCAGCAAACTTCCTTGCTTCTAAGAATGTCTGTGGAACTACTGTGTAGGAGTCTTGTTTTATTTAATCTATGTTTTGAGTATTAACACTCACATGTATAGAGTTATTTTGTCATGAAAAATTACACCTCACCTGCAATAAAGATGTTTCTCAAAGTCAGGGCATCTACACGTCAACACCTTTTTAACATTTTTTTGCAACTCAAAAGCAAGATCTTAAAACTGGCTCCAAGCTGTGCAAGCGATACGTTAATGTGTTGAAAACAAGAAAGATGTTCTCTGAGGCTCTCATTTTGTGGACTGAGAGCCCACAAAGATCTGGAGAGACTACGCTGGTTTAATGGAGTTGGCTGTCTCACATTCTTTTTAATCTACCAAATTAGATGCATTACATAAAATTTGAAAGATACTTAATGTTTTCGAACATTGAGTCGCTATATTAGTAGTTGCCACAGGTGGGCTTAGACAAATGTGAAGGGAAGGCAAAGGCAGCAGCTCTCTGTAAAATGTGATGTATGCACACAGTAAGGTAAATATTTAAGTGCATGTGTGCTGATTGCAATGGTGTTTTGTATCAAGGTTAGTTTAATTTTTCTGCAGGGATGTGAGAGATCACTTCTTCAGTGTTACTGTACTTCTCCTAAAGCAGCTTTCACTTGCCTAAAAACTTGTAGTGTATCGAATCAGTTTAGTACTTTAGTTTTACTGAAATGTAAATGGACTTGGAGTTGTCTTGACTGGGCTTTTGCTAAGGGGATTCCCACGGAATGAGTACATGAGAATGAGTCATTTTAGTTGCTGTTGCTACTCTTGGATTATCTAATTTAACATAATTCATAGAATGTGTTGGGCTGGAAGGGACCTTTAAAGGTCATCTAGTCCAACCGCCCTGCAGGGAGCAAGGACATCTTTAACTAGATCAGATTGCTCAGAGCCCCAGCAAGCCCATTGCCTCTTTAGGCTTTCTTAAACTTTTTTTTTTCTGACTGTAAATTACTTCGTGAGTTCTCAATTTTTTTTTTTTTTCCTCAATAGGATGTCTAGTAAAGTTCTGGGCACCGATACTGGCAACTTCCAAAGCGCAGCAACTCTTGTTCCGCATCGTGGATTGCTTACTGCTGCCGCACTCTGTGCTCCAGCAGGACAAAGAGCTGCCTGTGGCTCTGCTGTCTGCTATTCAGGAAAGCCTGCCTCTTTATCTTCAGGTAAATATCTGAACTCTGTTATCAGCAGGCAAACATATCTTCAGGAAAAGATTCATATTGCAGAGGATGTTTTCTTCTTCCCTAATCAAAACAAGCGTTGACTGAATTTAAAGAAGCAGCAAGAGGAGTTTTTTCTTCTTGTAGAAGTGGAAGGAAAAATGCCACCCCATTGGCTTTCCTTTCGTTGCACACAGCTGGGCTGTGCTACTCTCCAGAGCTCCTAGTCTAATCACTGTACACAGAAAGCTTTTAGCCAGCCTGCTGTTTACACTGGTCTCTGATGTGGGAAATTTCTGAAACAGTGGATCAGATAATCATGATATGTAGCAAGGCACTTGTTGAGATGACAGAACAAACAAATGTTTTAAATCATTCTTGACTTGGCTAACAGTAAATAATTAAAGACGAGCTACTCTCTTTATTGCTCTTAAGAACAAAAGACAGTCCTCTGCGTATCATGGCACTATTTTATCTTAATAGGTTGAGAATATGTTTTGCTGAATCAAGTTCCTTTTGCTTACGCTTAAACAACTAAAGCCTTCTTGTCCTTTGTTCCTCCTATTCATCCCTCAGCTTGCCTATCGCTCCTGAAACTCTGTAAGGCTTGTTCATGCTATAGAAAGACACTAATTCCTGCCGGTAAGGAAGAGAAACGAATATATTTTAAAAATAAATAAGTTGGCATGTTTTCCCTTGTAAATCCTTGGGGCTTTTTTGCTTACTATTTTTCCTTTCCCTCTTAGTCTTCATTTTGATTGCAGTCTTAACTGATTGCTTTACAGGATTGTATTGCGAAACAGCGCAGTGATGCCTTTATAAACATCCCTCAGATTTATTCCTCTCAAAAGTTGCATTTTGATCGATGGCACGTCACATGAAAGAGAATGTGATTGTATAATGATGTGCAGAATCTGACTTGCTTTGCTGCTCTGTAGGTATTTTCAGCTATATGCACATAAGACCATCTGGACACCGGTGTGACTGTCGGCTTGCTAATTTACTATTTCGGTTGGAGAGCACTGTTTCTCTGTAGTCTGCACTATGGATGTAGTTTTAAGATGAAGCTGCCCAAGCTGGTTTTGAAGTCCAAGTGTTGCAGACCCTGGTTTCCTGTTTTCTTTGTCAGTTCTGATTTCCCAACCTTGCTATTGTCCTCTCCATCAGTCTGCGGCATAGTCCATGTGTTTTCCAGCTAAGCTGTGTGATCTTAGTGACCAAGCTAGATGATCTTATGGTCAAATGCTCCTTCTAGAAAACAAGTAATTCTTTAATCTGGCAAGCACTTTTTGGAGAGAGAAGGCAAAGAATCATAGAATCATAGAATGGCCTAGGCTGGAAGGGACCTTAGAGATCATCTAGTCCAACCTCCCTGTTTTGGGCAGGGACGCCACCTCTCGACTAGACCTGGCAACAGAAGACTTATTTTTCCTGTTACAATATGGAATGCTGCCTGTGTTTTCTTAATTGGTTGTATTTACAAAGTTCCAATATTTTAAGGACTTCAAAATGCTTCATTCATTCCAAAATACTTCCTTTCACTTTATTCGTGAAAGTGGAAGAAATCTGATTTAGAATCAACTGATATTTCAGTATCAGTTAAAAAAATTATTCTCTTAAGACTGTTTCTGAGCTCCTCAGATGGACTCTAGGTACTGTCTGACTTCTCAGGTTATTGTTTTGGAGTTGGCTTAAGCCAGCTTCACTTAAAGCTAAATTCATTTCCTTTCACCTCCGTGTATATTTGCATTCAATTCACTTAAATGATTCTGTGAATAGCAATTTGTGAGGTGATTCAACCAGTAACTTGCAAAACAAACAAACTAGGAGCAGACACCCCTCTTACCCCCCCACCCCAGAACCCAAATGGGCATATCAGAAAACACAGTATAGTGGGAGGGAAAGCATATAAATGGAGTGGGAGGAGAGATGGAGAAACTTGAATACCCCCACCTTGACTAACTTAAATGGCTGCTGAGATGTGTGATCAGATTCTCCTTGGGTGGCACCCTATGTCTGGTGCCCATTCGTGGAGGTGGAGCAGTGGTATTTTAGTGCAGGAACCTTAATCCACCCTAATGTTAGACAAACATTGTTCGATAGATCCATCCCCATCCTTTGGCAGTTACACGAAAACGAACAGAAATTTAGAGACCATGCAAAATATAATTTATAGTCAAAGCATAAAAGTAACGTTTATGGTCAGATCTTTTCAATTCTTTTTTTATTTTTTCTTTCTAGTTTTCTGAAAAGTTCCAGGCTTTGTGTCAGCCTTCTTTTCTTGTCCAGAATTCTCCTTCTTCAGCTCCTTCAGTGTGGGCTGCTCCTCCTTTGTCCAGAAAATCCTTCTTAGATCTCAGTAAAAACATCTTAGTTTGCAAGCAATGGTTTGCAAAACTTCCCTCTTTCAAGAACTTTTAAGAACTGAGCTTAATGTGTAATTGATCCTTTTCTATGGGTTTTGAAAGGATTCAATATCAGTCTTAGTAGCAGGTAATTATATTCACACATTCATTGATGCAACAACTTATGAAATCCTATAGAATTCCTGAACTGTATCAGAAAAGATTCCCCAGGTGGTCACATCTCTCGTGTAATGATAACGCAACTGGCCGCAAAACTTGGGCAACTGGCTTAAAAGCAAAGACAGTCTTGTCACTGTCACTGAGAGAGGGCATCACCTTTGTTTGTCACCCTGTCATGGCAGAGGCCAACTTTTCGTCTTTCAGGACAACATATGAAGCTCCTTCTCTCCCCACAGCATAACTTATTACTACCTTCACAATTCATCAGAACTGGTGACTGTATCTCACTCTCCTTCACCACCCCAAGCCTACAGATTTATTTTTAATGTGTCAAAAATACAGGCTTTGTTTAATTTCACACAGGCACAGATAGTTTTCAAATGTGCTAATTAAGACTAAACATTGCATTTCTCTCTCCTCAGTTCAGTCTGACTGTATTTAGTTGTTATGTTTGTGTTTACTCTATGTAAAAATTTGGGCTATATAGTTGTGCCTTTTGACAGTTATTGGGCAACTGGTCTACTTTCCACTAAACACTGAATTTAGCTAGAAGTTTCCTTCAGACTTAGTAACTGATGCTGCCTTGTCAAAATAGCTTATCTCTAGCAACTTATAAAATAGTATTTTTTTTTGCCTAGAGGATTACTGTCTCAGTGTTCTTTCTTTCCCTGTGCATCCTCTGTTATCATAATATGTGATGACCTAAGAAAGTCAGTTTTGTAGGGATATAATGTCAAGATTGTCCTCAAAGTTAAATAAAGTATGGACTTCAAGAGAGCATGGGACTACTCTTAATTATGAGATAGTGAGGCATGTAAACTCTGACTTTAGATATCTTGCTATTGTAGAAAAAAGTTCACCTGATTTGTGTGATAGTGGGTTGCTGAAGCTTACCATGTGAAATATGAGAGCAGGTGAGATTGCTCTTGGACGGATTTCCTAGAGAGGGATTTGGCGGAATTTTGGTACACGTTTGCCAGTAATGAGAGAAAGAACTGAAGCAGTTTACATAACTTATTTTAGAGAAGAAATACTAATTTAAATACATCTTGCAGAACACAGCATAGCTACGTGGAATAAGCATAATATGCATAAGGATGGGAAAGGTGAGATACCCTGCTTGATTTATCAGCGTTAATTCTGTCCAAACACAGAAGATGGTTGATTTCTATCTCAATGCAGGAGAGTGCTGAAAGAGCTTAATTCTAAGTAGTGCTTGGCACATACATTTTCCAGTGATTTTAATGGGCCTGTGCAGGCTCAGCATTTGTCAGAGATCAGACTTTAAAAGCCCTCCTGTGAGCCACATCTGTGGTCCAATATTTGAGCAAGCTTATTAATACGTTTTGTGAATTATAGTATGTGTTTAATAGGAATTGTACAACATTAATTGGTGAACAGCAGATTTATTCCAACAGCAGGACTGATATTATAAGTCATCATTAGGTAGCTTGGCATTTCTGCAGTGAATAGTTCCAGTAATCCATACTAATCGGTTCTTCGCTCTCCGCAGGTGATTTACAGATATATGGATAAATCAGAAGAAAGAGGCAGCTCTGGCCTCAAAAGGTTCCTAGAGTGAACATGCACAGGAACCAGTTGCCTTTCTGCTAAAATGAGAGCAAATGTTGTTGTGCCCCTCTTCTCCCCTTAAAATGTTGAGGGGGTTTTTTGTTCATTTTGCCCCTCTTCTCCCCTTAAAATGTCGAGGGGGTTTTTTGTTCATTTTTTTTTTTTTTTGTCTCAGAGGATGACTAAAGAACAGAGTTAAGAAATAGAGATCAGCTCTATCAACCCTTTCAAGTCCATCTGCTTTATAGGGGTTGTCCTCGGGCTCAGATGTGCTGGATTTTTCATCTCTGGTCTCAAATTGCTGTCCGGTGGCATATGCTCTCTCATATGAAAGAGAGCATAACATAAACCTGTTAATTAATGGTGGAATTTAGAAGAAGAAAGCTGCATGTGATTTCCTTGTAATCACTTCCTTGGCCAGCGCTGCCTACTTAGAGATTTAGAACTACTCCGCAGCGTTGGCAACTTGTCCCTTGTGCCGTTCAGGATGTGGCGTTGTCAGACCTCGGGCAGCTTCTTGAATTTTGGGATGGAGGTCAGTTATTGCCGGGACTGTAATTTCCCACTCTGGATGCCCAAACAACCTCTCTGCCGTGGGCCCAGTTGGCTTTACAAAAAGCAGGTTTCGGACACACAGTAGATCTGACACTGGTTAAGAACCAGTTGGCTTTATACAAAGCAGTTGTCGGGCACACCCTAAGGTTCGCCACCAGATAAGGTCCATTCGGCTTTTACATAAAGCAGTTGGATGCACTAAGGCACGAGTAGTACGATTTATTCATGTGCAACAGATACAGTTTCTTTAAGATTGCCAGCAATAAAATAAAATAATACTGCAGAATGCCTGTAGGTCTTACCTTTTATAATTACAAGCTTGGTTTCCCAGGTACAGCACTCGGGAGGGCCGAGGACACCTATAAGGCATAAGGATGAAGCTGTCAGTCTTCCTCTATGAGTTCTAGCACTTTTTGCTTTTTATTGCACCTGTTAATTAGGATGATTTCTTAAACAGTAACTCTTATCGTTTAATAATAACTGATTTCTTCCTCCTTTTGGTACTATATAGCGTTTGTTGATACTCAATTTGAGGAACTGTTATGTTCTTTGTGTATTCTTACAGGTGTTCTCTGTTAGGTTGTGATGTTCTTTGTATCTCTTTTATCAGATTTTTTAATTTATTTTTTTTAAATGTTAGAACAGTCTACAGTCTTAAAAATGATAGCTCCAATTTTGGGATTATGGAATATTTTCTGTCTTTTTGTAAGAGCAGTACAGAAAGCACAGTCAACTCTTATTTATGCCTGCTGCAACATCTTATTGAAAACACTAAACACTCAAATTTACACACTAAATAATCTGTCATCTGAAACAGTCTCTTGGAGTCTGCTATTTGCCAAGCAGTGTCTTGAATAATTCTGATGTAGCAGCAGCTGCTTTTTCCTACAAAATTTTGCTGTACGTACACAACAGGAAGAAATATTCTGAACTGTTTACCAAAGCCCCAGTTCAGGAAGTGTTTGTTTTATCGGTGGGACTTACCGAAATTACCAAGGAGCTCTAGAAGTGTGTGAAGTTAAAACTAAACTGAACATACCTGGATGCAAGAGGGCCACCTACAGCAAGTCTTCCAGCAGGTCCTGAAGCACCTCATTTCTTGAAATCTCATGTTTCCTGTATTTGTTTACTGTGGAACCAAAAATGTGGACTCCCCATTCTGAGAAAGTGCCAAGACCACCTTCAGCTGTGTCTCAGCCTGCATTGGTTTTTGGTTTTGTTTTTTTTATCTGAAAGAATTGTTCTCTCACATTCAGACAGACAGGTATAGATGAAAATCTGGGGGAGGGACACCCGTGCGAAAAGCAACAGAAATGTTCTTTGTCAGCAGCGGGAGAACAAGAGCAGCCTGTCTTGAACTATTCATTCTTATATTAGAGGTATGAGCTTACCTCAGCAACCATGAATATTCAAACAGATACTCTTTCAACTAAAACTGAGGGTGATTGCAATGCCAATGAAAGGTTGAAGTGCTGCTGATGTTGCTGTCTAGGGAGCCCTCTGCCCGATCTTCTTTTATGTCATTATTCTTGTTGGACAGAACTATTGTGAAAACTGTTAACTCTCAAGAGACTTCTGTTTGTGCCACTGGCTGTGACCCTTGTGGTAGGGTGTCACTGGAGTTTTTTTCTTTTTCTTCATAGAGATTTGCTCCTCTTCCTTTCAGTAATCAAAGAAGGGGAAGGAAACTGTTACCTTTCTTTCACAAAAATTTGTACCAGTAAGAAGAATACTCTTTTTTTTCCCCCAAGATGTACTCTTTGTGTATTGTGTGGCTATGTGTGGTGCTCAGATAGGCACCTTCTGGGCAAGTACTTCTATTATAGATTTTTCTCTGGATCAGTATAGCTTATATTGGATAAATCACAACAGTTTTATCTTTATCTTAAACAGATTTAAAAAAAAAAAAGTTAAATCCCTTATAAGTGGTGCCTAATTTACCCTCATTTGTTCACACTATGAGCAAAATTTTTCTTGTCAGACCACAATTCTACGTGCTCATTTTTCTGCTGTGTCGTTTGTACAAAAATTTCACATGGTGCTTTACAAACAGATGAGGTATTCTCTCTTCCCTTCATAAATCTAACCTGACTAATAGACTTTGTTAAAGCATGTACAGAGTTGAAAAAGAAATGAGGAGCTCTTGGGCACAGAAACACTTCTCTGGCCTGAAATGCCAAGGTTTTGTTCCAGAGTTGAAAGGGAGCTTGTGCACCCCAAATCTTATCTTCCAGTATGTTCATTAGTCTAGTAAAAGTTTTTTCACTCCTTTGCAAGGCTTCCCTTGGCTCTGTCTTCTTTTGTAGACCGTCATTTCTGTAGCAAATCACTGATGCTTATTTGTCATGCAGTAGTTGGTCTGTGTGCAGCAGTTTATACAGCGATTATTTAGCCTACAGTTGTTAAAGATATATTTGAAATATTGTCAAAAATTTATTCAGTTTCTCACTTTTCTTCTACAGGGCCTGTCCTTTATATGTTGTCAGTCTCAAACGCAGGGTGCATATTTAAATCAACTGCTTGGGAGCATAATTCAACAGTATTTTGGACGATTTCTCCATTCTTCTCCGACTGCGCTCGGAGCCAGACAGCATCCTATGCTGACTGCTTTGTGCAGTTCCATTACAGCCCCACAGATGCTCCATTTACGGAAGACCACCCTACACATCATAAAGTAAGGACCAGCAAAGTGGAAAAAAACCCACCACACCACACCATCACTTATTCACATTTCACAAACAGCTGATTTCTTCTCAGTAACTGATAGTTTGGCTGTGGGGAGAGCTGGGCAGGTAGCAAAGGAAGGACAACATGTACAGAGCCTCTGTTTGTGTCTCAGGCTGGATTTAGGGTCACGAGAGTCATGGTGTTTGTAGTTGCCACGGTGACCTGTGGGGGGGGGCCTTGTTGGTCTGTAAGTGTTAGAGTATCCGTAGGTGTGCCAGCTACCCAGGAGAACTGGAAAATTCAGGATGTGGGAAGATGAAGAGCTAGAGGCAGGGAGACAGCATTTCTTCACTGTCCCTACTCGCACGATGTCAACGGCAGCTACAAATGCTGCATCTCCGTTGCCAAAGGGCCAAAGCTTTGGTTTATATACTGCAGGAAAGGGAACAATTTCTATTTTTTAATGTTGGGAGAGGAATTAAACCCTTTCAAATACAAAGTGGTTGCTTATATCCAGGATAATATCCAGGGTGTGTATACCTGTTGATTAAAAGAATTTCAATGTTGATCTTAGGGAAGTATCATAGGCCAAGCTAAGTAAAGCCTGTATTATCCCATATTAAGGGATGGAATTACGATTTCACAATCTTAGTCGTGACATGCTCTTAACTTACAAATAATCGAGCTTTGTCATCTTAATAAAGTTGGTTTTGAATATGTGCATGCATGTGCGAGTTTTAAGCTTGAATAGTGGAAAGAAAGTTCTGAAAGTGTAATGGCACTTGACGATTTGTAAGACGTGAAACCCTCCTTAGGGATCTGGGAAGAACGTCGTAGAACTGAGGTTTGCAAACCGTTGGGTGATTGGGAGGTGGCATGAGCTCCATACATAAATAGGTACAGAATTCACTCGTAATTTTGCCATATGAAAGTCAGTAAGCATCTTGGAAATGGAACCACACGATCGAGAGTGCTTTATCCAGGTCAGGGTACTCTCTTAGTGGAAGAGCATCCTCTAGAAAATCAGTGTGAAATTTTCATAGTAAATTAACAGGATAGAAGATGTCAGCACTATACAACTTTGATCTGGCAAATTACGTCAGTGCTCTGAAGATGTGCAATGAAATACTTAGATCTCTGCAAGTCAGCTTTGATGTAAAAGTTGTAGAAACGTTCATTAAGTTTTTAACAAGGGTGGTGGGTTTTAACGGATGCATTAATCTTTGAGTAGCTAATGGTACCTAATATTAAATCGCTAAAAAGGTGGTTTTGAAGGTTCTGGGAGTGTTTATGCTAACTGAGGAATAAATACTGTATTCTTTTTACCCATGCCTCAATTTAAATTTTCAGTTTTCAGCTTTCAGTAAAGTAATTTGTAATGTCAAATTAACAGTAGTTCAGACTTTCATGTCCTTTGCAGAAAACTAACAAATCAAGCCATCCAAATTGGAACGTTCAGTGTATATGATTGACAGGTCACCTTTTATCTTTGTGACAAATTTTATACTGGACATGACTGTGTTAATTGTGATGGAACAAAAGCAGGCATTGGCTTTCCGGTTACAACATACTGTTGAAAAAAATAAAATAACAGTACCAGTATAACAGCAGAGCTGTTAAAATTGTTATAACAAGTTGGATTGTGAGTTGACAAAAGCACATAAAGCTAAATAAAGTAATTGAAAAACAGTTGTATTTTGGGTGTTGGTTTAGGGGCTTAGAATCTTGATTTCTCCATTTTTTTTCCCAGTTATTAATCTGCCTTTATATTTTAACTTTTATAGTCATACTTGCCTTTTTACCTATAATTATGATAGCTGCTGTTTCTCACTTCCCTCAGTAGACGAGTCAGAAGACATCACTCTCCTCTGATGAATTGGGAGCCTTTTCTAAGACTAACAGAAGCCATTAGTTGAGCCTAGATAAAGATGGAAATCTGTGTAATAGGCCTCCTGCTAAACTATGGCTAAGTTATTTTAAGGTGCCTGTTGCTTGCGTTGAATGGAAAAAACTCCACCAAATTATAGACCCTGCTTTGGTTTGCTTTGTCTTCCAGTGAGAACTACCTGCACTTCAAAGGTAACGCTCCACCTCCTCGCTTGGCCTCCGTTCTTGCTTTCATTCTTGAAGTACTTCAGCGAACGCAGAGCACTGAGCTCTGTGACGTTGACTTGGTTCTCCCGGCTGTGTTGAAATGCATGGTGTTGGTTAATGAGCTGCAAGGTGAGCCGCTTGTTTTGCTTTAAATACACACACCTGTAAGATTTTTGTAACGCTGAGCATCTTTTGTCCCTATATTTAAGACTCTTAGATGAGGTAAATGAGATACTGTGGCCAGATAAACTGGACAAGCTTTCTATTTCTTCCATTAACTCATCTGGAACTTCTGTCTCGAGGCACAGGGAAGTCTTTTCTTCTTTTGATCTCTACTGAACTAATGATCAACTTGTCAGGAGTCTGAGGAGCATTTCCTTTCTGCCCATCCCTCCCATCTCATTTCTCTCAGACTTGGTAACTGTGGGAGTTTTCTTGGACTTGAAGGTTTGAGACCAAATAAGACTAGCGTATGTTTTCCCCATAGAGGCATTATAAATGGATTAAAAGTAACATGTTGCTCTCTGAAGGCATCTTTGAGTCTTCTTCTTTTAGCATGCTTTGTTTTGGTAGCGAGAACTTCTTTATTTTTAGCTTCTTAAAAAATGAAGCGCTCTGTTCACCCCACAGTTGTATAATGCATGTGCCATGTGCGCATAAGCTCAAAATTTCCACTTCTGGCTGCCAGCAGAGGCATTAAGCAAAGCAGGTCTTCACCTCTGACTTCTGGGAATTTTGTCTTGGAAAGGACTTTTTGATTCTGGCCTATCATAGTTTCAAGAACAAGATACATTTAGGAAATTTGCTGAATAGTCACACACCTTTCTTCCCAATTTTGCCGTTCCAGCCCAGTCCCACCTTTCTAAGGGAAGAGCTGTATCTTGCAGCTTGATTGGAAACAATTAAGGGGAAGAAAATAGTAGGGATTTATGTTGGGTTTTGTTTTCCTTTCCTCCCTGTGCTTAAAAACAGAGGTGGTGGTGGATATTGTTCTGAATTCCACCCTGAAAGTAAAGAGTGGATCTTTATAGCTTTGGGCAGGATATAATGCCATGACTGCTTTTCTTTAATTCAAGTAGGAACGATTAAAGAATATGAACAGAACTTAAATTTAAATAAAATCTCTCTTTCCGTTAAGTGTATGTCGCTTTGCCTTGACTTAAAAAGACCGTAGTGCACTTAAAATTCTGTATGTTTAAAGGATAATAGTGATGAAAATAAGACTTTTGCATAAACCTGTGATTCATTCTGTTCTTTATAGCCAATCTAACTAACTGCTCTCACTGTCATTTCCCTTCCATCAAAGTAAGATAAAATCTTTTTTTTTTTCTCATTTAAAAATTTTAGTCTTCATGAAAGACATTCTCCAGATGGCCGGTTCAAGAGCTCTGCATTAATCTTGCGATTTTTCTTTTGCAGTTAAAAAAATATCTACAGACATTGTACAGTACATGGTAGAACACTGCCAAGCAGGGTCAGGAGGAGAACGTGCCACCCAGATGACTTCCGTATTTAGGTAACCAGAAAATATGCCAATTGGCAGCGAAGCTACTGCAAGCCACTTGACAGCAAACATGTTTTTTTAAAATAACTAATTATCCTTAACATACTGCATTGTCACTTTTTAATGATATTTAAATAACTTTTGGCACTGGTTTTAAGCATAGCTTGGCCAAAAAGCCAGAGAGAAAAAAGCAGAGGAGAGAAACATACCTTCTTTCTGGTGGAGTAGGTACTGTTTCAAAAGGTATATAATAGAGAGATAAGGTGCTGCTGGAATGGAAAAAACTCCTCGTGAGTGGGGATGGCCAGCGTTAGGTTCCTAATTTGAAGCTTATGTAACGAAGATCAAATCCTCACACAACAAGCTTAGCTTCAATTATTTTTTTTAATTTATTTGATCGATTTGATTTTTGCGACAAATAAATGATAGATTCTTATAATGTAAATTATACTTATTCCACACCTCTGCAAAACGAATCCTGTTTCTCACGTGGATGCAGCAGAAGAGCTGCGTGACCTGAGACGTTGAAGACATTTTGCAAACCGAAGCATTGGTGCTGTGTTGGATCCTGCCTAGATGAAAGCTCCAGATTGGCTCCCTGAGATAAGAAGGGATGTTTGTGGGTGTGCCAGTCTCTCTGTACATGATACATCACTTCCATGGGATGTTTCAACCCCAGGGTGTTACTTTTGATTCACATGTAATACGTGATATTTAAAGTGTGTCTATCCACTGGTCTGTCCTGCTTAAGGACAAGTGGAGCTTTAGAAGAAACGCTGACATTATTTTTACAGACTTGAATCTAGATGTCTTGTTTTGCTGGTCTTTTTTTAATTAAATAATAAATACCTGTTTCAGTTCTGCATTCAGACACATTACAAAGTAAAGCGTTCCAGAACAAGTCAGCTCTGGTGTAACAGCAGCAGAATCTGTCGGTTTGCTCAAAATTAAATGTGTGGGATTTTTAGTATTAGCCTTCAAAAGCACGTGATGTCATTCAGAGAAAATATTCCACGTAGAGAATTTCAGTGTAGTAATATAAAAATTGCCATGCAGCCAGATGGCTTGTTCTGATTAGACTCTTCAGTTGTTCTTGGCGTGTTCTCGGCATCTAGTTTTGACCTCGCGTTAAATGCCTCCGTGTCCCCCTCAGGCAGTTTATCCAGGACTATACCGCCGTGTATGATCACCGGGTTTTCAGCATCCTAGAAGCAGTGGCAGTCTTGGATCAGACATTAGTTACCAGCCTGATTCCCACAATCACACAGTCTCTGAAGGATTCGGAGCACAAACAAGGTCTTGGAAGAAATGCTGCACAGAGGTTTGTTTTTTATTTCATATTGGTTTTTTTTTTACAATGAGCAGTAGAGGTTTATTTCCTTGAAAGAAAGCAGTCTTAGCAGCACAGATACTCAAAAATTAGTGATTTTTAAATGTGCTAAGCCAGAAATCTCCCTTTTATCAGGTTTTCATGGTTTTAAGCTATCTATATTTGCTAAATATTTTCAGAGATGTTTTGACACAAGGGCTACAGACCTCAGTAGAATTTATGTGAAGGTGCATGGTCTCTGCCCACTGTACTGTCTGTTGCAAAATAGAGTAAAGAATTCCTGCCCCAAAGAATTTTGCTGTCAGTCCCTGCTTTAGAAGACTTTGTGAATCATATCTAAAATGACAGTATAATCAGGTATGATCTGAGATGCCTGGAGAAAGAAATACCCATTATTTAATTTCAAGAGTTCTCTCACAATATAAATAATAAAAAGGTGTAGGTGTCCAGAAAAGACTGGCCTCCTCTCTTGGACAGGCACAGCAGACTCACTCTTCCTCCCTGTGTCCCCAAGAACGTAGGACAGAAATATTTGACCAGTGAACCCATTTCACGTTAGGAGGATGTGACGTGTGCGCTGAGCAGCTCCATGCAGGTGGCGGGATCTCTGAGTGCAGATGCAGCAAGTTGCTTCCAGCACCCATACAGATCCTGTTGCACAGCTCTGGGAAGCTCTTGCCCAGTTGTGGCACCCAAGAAGCCAAAAGGGCTTCTCCTGTCAGTTCTGCTCGCTGGAAGGCTGCCTCGTGGCCCTCAGGTGCAACAGTGTGCCCAGGTGGGCCGGAAGGCCAATGGCATCCTGGCTTGTGTCAGGAACAGTGTGGCCAGCAGGAGCAGGGATGTAATTCTGCCCCTGTGCTCAGCCCTGGTGAGGCCTCCCCTCGAGCCCTGTGTGCAGGGCTGGGCCCCTCACTGCAAGAAAGACCCTGAGGGGCTGGAGAGCGATGAGGCTGGGGAAGGGACTGGAGGGAAAGTCCTGTGAGGAGAGGCTGAGGGAGCTGGGGGTGTTTAGCCTGGAGAAGAGGAGACTCAGGGGAGACCTGATCACTCTCTACAACTGCCTGAAGGGAGAGTGCAGTCAGGTGGGGGTCTGGCTCTTCTCCCGGGCACCCAGTGACAGGACGAGAGGGCACGGCCTGAAACTGCATCAGGGAAGGTTTAGGTTGGATCTCAGGAAGCACTTCCTCATGGAGAGGGTGCTCAGGCACTGGGATGCACTGCCCAGGGAAGGGGTGGAGCCACCGTCACTGGAGGTGTTTAAAGAGAGGCTGGATGTGGCACTTAGTGCCGTGGTCTGGCCCATGTGGTGGTGTTGGATCATAGGGTGGACTTGATGATCTCAGAGGGCTTTTCCAGCCTCAACAATTCTGTGACTCTGTGGGCATGCAGCTGGCCCCAGCGTTTGCATCAGTGCATGGACTGAGGCCCCCCAAAGGGTCACATCTCACTCACACCTCAGGGCAGAATGGTTTTGAGGTGCATGTGAACAGGGCCAGGGCTATAAAAAAAAACCAAAAGGGAGAGCTGTGCAAGGGTATAACTCATGAGACAGTAAAGGGCAGTCAAAAGGTATTAATTTTGCATTTCATGAAAAGATATTTAACTCATTTGTAATTATGTTGCTCTCTTTTTATTATCCTTTATGAAGAAATACATTTACTTTTATTTAAGGGAATTCACCCAAGGTCAGACTGAAGTACCATTATATGCAGGATTTTCATACTATTTGCTTTTGATCTTTTGATAATATATTTCATAGCCAATTTTTTTTATACTGTTAATACGGTAAATTTCATCCCTTACCTATGAAATATGAAACAAAAAAAAGCAGGTTGTTGGAGTTTCCTGAAATACATGCTTGGAGATTACTGAAGAGCTAATTTTCTTTTAGCCTGATCACTTAGTGTATATATCATCTAACCTGTTGTTGATGTTTTGTACTAATAATTTGTATTTAGAATGTACTCCATTACCCATCAGTCTAAGGTGATCCAGGAATATTATATTTTAAGAACATTAATAACTGATTTTCTCTCTTCAGTCTGGCCACTAAATAGCATTATATTAACATAGTCTATGCAACTATTGTAGACATTAAACTAGAATCCCATATATATATATGTATATGAAAAAGCAAAGTTCAGAAGCTGCTTCAGATGTTTATAGTGGTGATGTCCAGTATTATTATTGCAAGGAAGTAGTACAAAAACTACAGTTCTGTTTGCTCAAGTTTGTGTTTCGTGAAAAAGATATATAATCAGAACAGACCTAAATGTCAGAGGCAATAATTTAACAATAATTATGTTGTCTAGTTTGGAGGCTATTAGAATGAACTTCAGGTGAAAAGTTTTGCTAATGCATACATGCTTTTGGAAAATGCACTGGAGTGGCAGTCCTCTTCCAAATTCCGGGTTTATTTTTAAAAAGTCATTGTCCTTTGTTGAGGGTGATGGTCTAAATCAGTGTCAGTGGCAATTTGCACCCTGGTGCCAGCAGCTCGTATCTCTGTGATGTAGCACGAGTCACAGAGAGATTTCTTATGCAGAAATCAGCTAGCAAACGCCATGAAGTCTGAATGCCAATCTCGTCTAAGCCTTGGAAACTCTGTGTTTTAAAATTTAAAAAAAATTAAAATTATTTCACAGCGTTTTACTAAACAAGGAAACTTCTAAGCATCTCCACTACACTTGCAGCCATGCGCACTGCAATCCTTACTCTTCCTCCAACATGGCCACACTGAAAATTGTCAGAAAACAAAGCAGTTGAGGGGGGGTGAGGGCAGGGCATGGGAAGAAAGTTACTGTATTTTAATATCGCAATATGTGGATAGCGTGTTCAGAAATTACATGCTTTTATTTCTAGGATTAAGTAATGTGTTATTTTTTTTTGGTTTTTTCAATAGAGAAGCCTATAAGAGACTCTTATCTTACCTCGCAGAGGCTGGACAAAATGAGATACAAAAACTGGAAAATGAGACAGGTTAGCAGTGTGCTGGTGATTAATCCTTTCCTCTTGAATGTTCTGACACTGTCAGTACTTAAAACTGCTCTCAACAACACAAAGCTAAGTTCTGTTTCTTTACGATAGCAATATGTTTCTCAATTTTGTTGATTGGTTCCCCTCTCCTCCAAGTTACGTATTAATTTTAATAATTTCTGTGATATTTGAATATTGCCGTGCCTCTGAAGAGTAAACCTTGATATATCATTGAATAGCAGTTGAAAGATATATATCAGATTTGTTACATGTTTAAATGCCTGTATGAGCAGAGCCTGTACTGCAACGTGCGAGGTAGGTTTTCAAAGAAGCAAAGTAATTTCACAAGTCAGGAAGACCTGACCCTCCTAGCACTGTATTTTTGAAAATCTTATTCAGTATGTTCTTAAGAAAATCCTAACTTTGTAATTTCTAATTTATTATTTTAGTAGAATGAGGGGAAAAAAAATGATCTCTAATACTGAGCTTTTTGAACGCAGCACATTCATCAGAAGTTGCCCCAGTATGATAGAGCTGTTGTTTGTTAAGGGAGGGCTTGTGTAAATGTTGCACAAAATGTATATAGCTGTCTTAACATTTCACCTGTATTAAAATATTAAAGTCTTTCAGATTCCAGTGTAAAATCTCTTCTGTTGTCTTTGTGGGTAATCTAAGAACAGGTAGGTTCTGATCTCCTGTTGTCTTACTTTTAAATACTGTGTTTTTAAAATTTACCCATAGTTTCTAGTGATCCCACAATCTTTTTATTATTCATGAGACTGTTAAACTTAGACTAGATGTAAAAGGTGTGAGAGAAAAGAGCGGACAGCTTTCTAAAGTTAATACTCATTCGGGGAATTTATTCTATTTGATCATAGCCTAGTAATTATTCCTGTTCTTGGAAAGTTGGATCCTTCAAATATTTTGCTCTGATATGGATGACCTTTTGGGTCTTTACAGGACAGGTCTAGCTCTCAACTTTTTCTACTATTTCTTTTTCTAGAGTTCTCAGGAAATTTTCATTAATGGCAATGGTATTCACATTTTTCACTTCCCTCAGTAACCTGTATTTCTGCAGCTCGTTACTGGGCTTGGGGAGTTCTAAGTTTGCCTTTAATGGCAACGCTGGAGAACAGGCTGCTTTACTTTTAAAGGTGTTCAGATATTAACTTGATGCTGTTAATGGGAAGGAAAGATTATTTCTGTATCTAATAGCTCCACAAAAATCCCTAAAATCTTGTTCAGGGCAGCTTCTCTTTCGTTACAGTAATCTTATCAAGTCGAGCTTGATAATCTTTTTGCCTAAATCAGCTATCGTTACTTCAGATAATGCAGTAACTAAAAGGCTCTTTCGGCTACTTAATAGTGCAGAACATGGAGATTCTTTTCTTTATAAAAGTGACTTACTGAACTTGCATTCTTGTAAGCTTCTTGTAAGCTTCTCTACCTGGGAGGAGTTTTATTCATCACAGGAGGATTGTGGTTCTAAAAAGCGGGGGTTTTTTTTAAAAAAATAAATTAAAAATTGTAACCTCTCCAATAGACATTGATAGAGATATCTTTGAAATTAGAGTCCTAGCACACAGAAGATGTCTGACTGTAGTACTACTTCTGAAAGTAAAACCTTGACTTTTAAAGGATAAAGCAGATATTACAACAAAACATTTAATGATGTGTTTAGTAGGTTGTTAAAGACATATTTAATAATATCTGTAGTGGTTGGAAGTTTGAAAAAACAGCAGGGTATTATTTAAATGTATAGCAGTTCCTGGGGCATGAGAAACTAATTTAAACAGTTTGGAAATTATCATTCTTCTCTGTCAAAAAGTTCATGTCGACAAAAAAATAAAGCACTTTATCGTGTTCATCAGCCATTGCCAAGTGGGCAAGCCGGTTTGGTCTACTTATTTGGTGTGGGCTTTTGCGGATGTGACTGACAGTTCTGATAATATTAATGAGACAAAAGCTTGTGGAGTGCTAGTCTAGACTGACTTGAAAAGTATGTATCAAAACAGCAGTCCAGAACCATATAGGAGGGTAGAAGAAAGTGTGGATTTTAAGTACAATATGGAAAAAGTAAGGACTGACAACCACCACGAACTAAAAGAAACTATGTATTACATCTTACTGGATGCTGTCTGTATAAAAGCTACTTAGGACACTGAATGTTATTTAAACTGAAGCTTTCTGTATTGTTTTACACATGAACAGTTTTGTCTAAAAACAGTGCAAACGTCCAGCTTCTTTAGATGATGCATGGAGGACTGCTTCTAAAAAAGAGAAGGAGATCCTGGAAAGTTTTTACACCGGTTACTACCACTGATAGGAGCAGTTCATTTGCGCAGAGATGCAAAGTCAGCCTCTTCACTTTGCTTAATAAATTATAGGATAGAGTCTTGCTGTAAATCAGGTAAAGCGCAGATCTGAAAACAAGATATCAACCTGCTGCTGCGTGGGAACCCTAAGCACTGTCCAAGGAAGCAACTTGTCCCCTGCCAGGCTTGCTGTCCGCTTCTCCTACCACGTGAGACTCATCCCCACAGTTGTTTGTTCACAGCTGACATCAGTGGGGCTGTGCTGAGGCGTCTGATTTGGGCCCTGTACGCAGGGCAGGAGAAGTGTGAAAGCAGAAGCAACGCAGCTGTTAGTCCTGCCAGGGAGCCTGGTCACAGGGAGCTTGGCTCTGTGGCAGCTGAAAACATCACCGTAGGCTTTAGCCAGCAGGTCCTTCAGTGTGCAGTGGCACTGGACAGCAGGTGAGAATAATTTTGAGCACCTCAGCAACTCCCTGATGTTGAACTGGTTTAAACCACTTGCTTCTGAGCAGTTTTCCTGCCAGTGTGTATGGGCGCTTTGTAAGCATTTTAAATCTGAACTGGAACTGGTATAAACTTCTGGTGTTATTGGTCAGTCGCATACCAAGCCCAAAGGCTCAATGAGAGCTCATAGTCTCTTTGCATGGTAGCTGCTGGGACAGGCAATTTCAGGCATCTGTTGTCAAGACTGTATAGGGAGAAATCCAGGGAGCGTCAGGACAGAAATCCTCTGCAGAGCACAGCCTGCAGGTGTGTGACTGCCTTGCTCAGCTTCACAGTTTGGGGGGGTCTTTGTTTCTGAGAAGCAATGAATGGCAATGAATTACCAAAAGCTTTCACCAATGCTGGGCAGATGTCTTTCTCTTCTGATCCATTTTGCAGGATGGCCTGCTCTCCCCTAAGTAAGATAGAGAGATCAGGTGCCTGGTTTCCACTTTATCCCAGGTGAGGCTCACAGGAAAGCTATTAAGCAAGGCTCCTGTGAGTCCGTGACAAAGATTGGTGATTACAGGAAGAGGATCATGCCCCGGCTCTGTGATTATTTCCAGGTATGCCCCAAGACCACCATCCTAGAGGTGTATACTGAGCCTCGCTCCATTCCTAATAAGAAAGACTGGTAATTAATACTATCTCTGCTGAGAAGCCAACAGAAACTGACATTTGGAAGTCACCAACTCCTGACAGCAGCAGCTGGGTGAATTGGTTTGCCAGTGGGGCCACAGTTCCAGACCTTAAATTAGGTGCTTGCAGTAGATGACCTGAGGATTTCGGATTTGCTAGGGATCTCGGCGACTTCAGCAAGCAACTCAGCCTGCACACACATTTCTTTCTCTCAGCCAGCAGCTGCATTACAATTTTACAACAGTTGAAGGATTTTTGTGTGCAGTCATTCAAGCTGTTCTAGAAAGAAATTGCCATTTCTACCATTTCCCAGAAAATGCGGCAGTTAGAGAGCAGGATCTCTGTCTCATGTGTGGATGCAGACCTGTGCAGGGGGAGCCTCGCCCATTTGGATGGTCCCATTTAGATCAATGGCCTAATCCGGATTTCCAGGATTTGCAAAGCTATTCTGTTGCACAGTGAAAATTGAATTCTAGGAAGAACAGTTCAGTTAGCACCTGTCCAACCACACCGCATTAGAGACACGTGCATTTACCTGATGAATACTGGTATGGCGATCACTAACTTGAAATCTCCACATGAACACAAGACCACCATAAGCGTCCATTTATAATTCCATGCTTTTTAGCAGGTTTGGGGTTTTTTTTGGCCTCAAGTAAAGATTTAACTAGAGCACCTAATGAAATTCAGAGAAAGTTCAACACCTGGGCTTGGTCCTACTCCCAGTGTAAATATATATATATACATACATAAAGTTGGTGCTATCAAACCATTTTGAACATCAATTACTCTAACTATGGGCTTACCATGCGTCAATGGAGTTTTAAGAAAGTATTAAATTTCAGTCAGCTTTTTCTTCTCCCAGTGCTGGTGCGTGGTCTGTGCCCACCCTCTCCTTTCATTTTGAAACACTCATAACGTTGACAGGAGGCCTGGATAAAGTACAGCAGATGTGAGCTTTGTGAGCATTTTCTACCCCGATCTCATTGGCCAGAGGACTGTTCCAGGATATAAGAGAACTACTGTGCCCTTTTCTTTTTGCAATATAGAGAATTGAGAGCTGAATAGAAAATACTTCGGTTTTATATTTTCCTTGTTCCAGAATTCAGGATGCTGACCACCTCTGACCTGTTATCATCCTTGTGATATGAAACAGATGTCCAGTGCGTTATGAACAATGGCAGGGAGAGGAAAGTCTGGCTTATATTTCCTTTAGTAACCTTAAAAAGATAACTGGGAAAAAAGAAAAAAAAAGAAGACACTTTCTGGTCAAAATTCACACGCCACTTCCATTAGTCCCACAAGGCTGTCCCTCTATTTTATAGGAATTTCCCATTTGTTATTGTTATTAAAGAGCAGGAACATGGTAATTTAAATTGCTCCCTGCTTTCATTTTCAATGACAAAAAAGAAAAAAAGAGAGGGGGGTGGTAAGGCACTTGTTTCAATAAAAGAGCCTCTGAAATAGAAAAATTTACGCCTTTTATGCTGGAATAGAGCAGCAGACCTACAGAAAGAATAAGGTTCTGCATATCTGTTGTAATTGCACGGAAGAGGAGCTGCCAATAGCATACACTACTTACAGAGTCATTTAAGGAACTTTGATAACTGGCCACCTAAATGCAATGTATTTCCCTCAGGAAACAGAAAAGAGGTTTTCCCGTGTTCTGTTTTTCCTTCCTTCAGTGGCTTTAAAAAATTATGTATGCATGAGTATTTTCAGTTTAGTCCTATTTTATAATTTTTAACTATTACTTAAAACTTTAATTCAGTGTAATCAGCCCATCTGTTAGCAATGGTTATAAAATTATGCTGAAGATTTAAAAATCTGATGCAGTGTCAATATGCCCTAGCATAATTAAGCTTGTTTTATAATGAATGACTAGGATACAGCTTTTGTCTGCTTCATCAGCTTTAAAATGGTAAACCTTTTGTAGAGTTAACACACAAAATGTGATGGTATGTATAGAACAACAAAGAAAATTAAAAACACAGACCCTGTGTACATAGTGTGGTGTCTTTGTCAGCCTTGAGGAATGCCAGCAGAGTAATTCAATGTCACAACCAAATTCACCACATTTTTTAGTCCATCAGACGCTGCCTTGGATCTACACTCCTCCCTGTAGAATGTCACCCAAACAGGCACTGAGAATGGAAGGTTGCTAAGTTGGTTAATCTTTTTAGAAGGGGCCAACGTGACCCATATGGGCACTTGTGGAAAAAATCAGCACAGCATTCACTTACGTGAATTGAGGGTATTGCCAAAAATACTCTGTTCTTCAGTACTTGAAGCATTGCGCCATAGCCTGATCTACCCACAGCAAGAGTTAACAGTTTAAGCATTTTAATTCTGGCCTTGCTGTGAAACAACAACTATATATAATCATCTCTGCTGGAAAACTATTCTTTATGTGGACACTTTTTTTCCCCTTTAAAATGTGTCATTGAAAAAAAAACCCAACAGCCAAACATTTTGCAAAAAATAAAAACCATATAAGCCCTTTATTTAGTCATATGTGCTAAAGTTCCTGCAAAGTCTTCCTCCCCTACAAACTCTGCCTGCAGCTGAAGTGTTTTAACCTTGCCCTCTTAATTTATTCTACATTCTAATTTTCAATAAACAGATGCCACCTCTTTTTGCGCTTGTTTCCACATTGTTCCACATTCTGCCTGTGTTGTTTCTGCATGTGTGAATATTCAATTATCTATTTCTCCATGATTCTGCAACTGATGTACTAAATGCCTGTACAGGTGTGGGGGAGGGTAACGGGGGAAGGCAAAACTTAGAAGAAAAAGAGTTACAGAAGTTTGAACTATTCTGAGAGTCGGGTACTTTCCCCAGAAGTTGCTAAGTTAGGAAGAAAATCCTAAGGCACGAGTAGAAACGCAAGGATTGCAGAACTGCGAGTGCACAGAAGCCGATTTGCTGCACGCCGGTCCGTAAGCATTCCTTTGGTCAGCACTTGAGTGTCAAATGCTCAAGAGAGACCAAAGGGGCAGAAGAGGCTGTTGGTGCTGCTGATTGTGGGAATTGCCCCTTTCTCCAGCTAAAAAATGAGAAGCAGCTGATTGCCGTTGTGGTTATTTATAGCTAAGAGCTGGCAACACATCTTAGGAATCAAAGGTGAAGTATGCTGTGTGAAGGAAGAAATGTTACTGTTAGGAGGATGGCCCAAAAAAAAGGAGACCACAGGATGGTTCGTCAGTACAGCTCTCAAGACCTTGTGACCCAAAAGCCTGGTTGTGGATGTAAGTAGCTTTAACCTGCAAATCCGAGGAATTCAGAGCACAGAATTACACTGGGTTCCAAACAACAGCAAATAACTGCTGCTGCATTATTCACTTTCTAAGGACAACTCTTTCCTGAAGCGAGTTCCTACCAGTTGCAACCTGCGTTGATACCTTCCTGGGAACCCAAGTGACTTGTGTTGGCAGCTGCTCTCATGCTGCGCTGATCTGACACAAGAACAGAACCATCCAGTGTGGGAACATTATGGGCAGCTTTAAGGCTCTCTGGAAAAACAGAGCTCAACTGCATATTAGGGGTACATACCAAAACAGGTAGGCTGGGTAGGGACAAAGGTTGGGTTCAGAGGTTTATATTTGCCAAAAAAAAAAGGGTACAAAATACAGAGCAGCAGAGGCAGATGTGAAGCTCGCACAAAAGAGATTGCAACTAGTGCAGTTTCAGAAGGGAAGCTATAAGAAAAAAAAAAAGGCAGAGCAAGGACATGCTCATTCAGAAGCTTCAGCTCACTATGCAACCTTTGCCTACAGGTGAAGCCAGTCTTGCTGTCCCACCACAGCTTCCTCCCTAACAGAGACCTCTCAGCCAGAGCAGAGCTGCTGCTGGCACCAGCTCTTACATGAACCCTGTTCTCTTTCCTTCATCATCATCATCTCTTTCCTTACCTGGCAAGGGCTGTGTGGCATATTCTGACTTCAGGTGCAGCAAAGCACCCCCGTATGTCCTGTTGGCCCTGCAACAGAAGCAGAAAGACCCAGCTAGGAAAGCCTGGCACAAAAATGTAGGGGCCAAGAGGTTACTATGAAAGACTTCTCTGTCATCAGGGGAGCCCGATGATTGAGAGCCAGAGCAGAATCCTGACACTATGAGGAGCATATGTGTCGTCCTGAGGCTCTGCTACCCTTAACTAATTTAATGCAACTGCACAGCTGTTTAAAACTGCTATTCACCAGTACGGACAATTGGTGATAACAACCGAAACAGTAAAAGCATCTAATGGGCAGAACAAACACGGTAACACTCCTGCCTTTCAGTCCTTGAAGCAGGAGGCACATGCTGCTTTGCGTAAGGAAGCTGCCACCTCCGCTGCCCAAACCCCAGCCTCTGCTGCAAGTTGCTGCTGCTGCCGCCCTGGAAACAGCCAGACTCATCGTAATTCCTCCCCTTCTTCTTCCAGATAGAGCAGTTTAGAAATTATTTCATAACTACAGCTGTGGTAAGCTATGAGGCCTAGGAATTAAAGCCTCAGAACTGAGACATACAAAATATGCTTTCCGCTACTGTCTGGAAACGCACGAGGCTTTACAAAGGCTGAGAAATTAATTCTCTGAGCATGACAAAACAGGAAGTGTATGTCAGTTCTGCACCCAGAGCGAAAGCTCATCACTCACCTCGTCTAGTACCTCCAGGATGAGGCTCAAAGCCCCAAGGACCTCTGCATACACACTTGATTATTTTAGCTGCCCTCCTCTTGAAAACGTGTCCCTGCAAGTCACACATAAAGAGAACTTTACTTGCCAGGCTTGGGCCCTGCAGCCAGTGCAGGGCAACAGTCAGGTTTTCAAGTGTAAATGGCCTGTTGGGAGAGCTGACCCTTGCACTCTGATTTCCAGGAGATCAAAGAATTTCAGAACAATCTCGATGTACAGCCCATACAGCTCCCACACCGTTAGAGAAAAGTACTATCTGCATGTAGGCTTATTTTGTATGCAGAAGGAGACACTGTTAACACTCACGATAGCGTGCCAGGCGACGACTGTGCAGCTGCAGCTCTTCTCTGTGCAACAAGAGTGAGAAAGCTCACCAAAAAAACCCACAAAACTTTCTAACCTGAAAATTAGTGGAAAAGGAAAGGCGATGTTCCGTGAATGCACTCCCCTGCTAGTGATGGAAACGGTGAGAAAGTTCACCACCCTGTATCTCTAACCAGACCTTTAAAAGACGGATTGGATTTGGAAACTGCTCAGTGGACAAAGTCAAACCTGTTCCTGTCCAGCAGGCGCAGGCTCACGCTGCAGCATATTCTGCACTTGGCATTTGCATGAACATTGGTAGGAATTTCATAGGTCTGCTCAGAGAGCAGCACGGCGGCAGCGAACAGATCAGCAGGTAAAGCAGAGAAGTGCAGAGTACCCATAAATCATAAATAGAAAGAGATTTAATTACATGCTTGGTTAATATTTACAAACATTGAAGTTGTTGTTAGATATGTAAATAAAACACAGAAATAAGAGACTCAGGCTGCAGTAGCCAAGCAAAGCAAAAATATAGCAGGTTAGAGTATTTATTGTGAACTGGCATATGCCTGGAGCCCAGAATGGAGACACACTATACAAACTGAAAGAATAAATAAATAAATATTGACATTGTTCTACACCTGTTCAGCCTCTGGAGACCAGTGATTTGTGGGACCATATGTTGGACAAAATGAGACTGTTCATTGATAATTGTAAATGTGGTGACCTCTTGCAAACTGGATATTAAAAATATTAAGTAAATGGCACATTTTAATTATACAGTAAAGAGGCTGTTCTCCACCATTAAAGGACTGCAGCTGTCAGAAGGAATTGATCATATGACAGAAGGTAACATTTATTTGATAGTGGACCTTGGTAAATGACTTCCCAAATGATCTTTTAGATTCTCAGACAAACACATTCCGTTCAGACTTGGGTTTAACCATGAGGCTTTGGTGTTTGTGTCTTTCAGCTGAGACAATTTTTATCTGTTCCTCCTATACTACAGGGCTTGGTTTGGTTTTTATATTTGTTTTAATCTGCTTTGCAGTATTTAAATTTCAAATGAAGTACTATTAAATGAGAAACTGTAAACGATGGAGTTTGGAATTGGAAGTCAAGAGATTTGTTATTCTTTTTGCCAAAGGTTTCGAGTAAGTTGCATAATTACCACAGTATTATATCATCTTTGTCAACATAAACAGAGCTTTCAATCAGCTTGGAAAGTGCCACTGGTGAACAACTGAACGTACAGACTCCAGAGAGCAGCAGCCCAGGAGGAGCTAAGAGCATTCACAATGACTCCCAAAGTTGCATAAGGAGGTGAAGTAGACACAGGTAGCAAGTAGTCACCAGCAGAAATGCCAGACGCTCTCATGTAAATACTTCTGCATCGGAGGCAGAGGAGAGAAACTGCGGGCAGCTTCTGTAGCTTCCTTCCTGCCCATCGTGATCTGACTTTAAGACAAATGTGTGAAGGTAAAGCAGCAGCGCGTGTGGATTGAGTCTTCTCAGTAACCCAGAGAAACCCTTCCATACATAGGGTTTGGGCTTTTTTCCTCCTTCACATGTGGCTTTATGAAGCGCACGTTCCTTGTCTCACATTGTGCCGATCCTGTGGTGAGGCACTTGCAGAGTCTGAAGGTTGGGGCAGGTGAAATAAGGAGCTGGAAGAAAGCATGCTGCTATTCCGTTGGAAGCGAAGGGGAGCGTAGGCCCATAAAATATCTCTTCCTTCCCTTCCTTGCTAACGTCCAGCACCTGCAAGTCAAAGCACACAAAATACTTCAGGGATCACAGGAGAAAGGTGAAACAAATTTGCTGGCCCAACCCACATATATGTTCTATTAATTCCAAGAGAAAGGTAGTTTCAGATAATTTTTAGATTTTGTTTATGGATCTGCTGTCCTCATCATGCAAATCTTATGGTAGTGCAGGCACTCGGCAGCAGACAGGGACGCTGGAGGATGTTCTTCCTGGCAGCAGAAGGTGCAACCATGCAAGCAGGGTACTCACACAGACGTGCTGCTGTTAGCACGGAGTACGAGTCACTTCTCAGCTTGGTGGTATAAAGGGAGCAAGGGAGCTCTATGGAAGTTGGAAAGGCCAGATAAATTAATGACTTCAAGAAAATGAAGATATATGGAAAAAGATTTTCTTTTCTTCCAAAAGGAGAGAGCAACCTCAAATTTGCTGAATCGAAAGATGAAAGGGCTAGTTTTGCTGGTTAAAGCCAGGCACGCTGCCAGCAGCTGAGAAGGAGCAGCAGACACATCTCTGCCAAAGCGCTCACTGTACTTCTTTTCCCTTTAGTGCTGGGACTGTCTTGGGCAGGCTGCCAGTTCATGACCAGTTTGAGGATGTGGACAAATGTCCATTGAAGAAAGGAAGATCCCAGGATCATTTTCACTTGTCACTAAGCAGGATTTTAGTCCAGGTGCAATACGGCAAAGTACCTGGTGATTATAAACAAGTGTGTTGGTGGAGTCCAGTCACCACCCTGACAGTGTGCTGTTACTCCATCTGAAGCACTGTATGTCAGCCAGTGCTTGTCCAGGCCAGTAGGAATGACCTTTTCCAACAGCAATTGTTAGGTGTGGTATCCAAGAACTTAGTAAAACACAATTATAGCATAACCAGAACATGGTTTTAGCTGCTTATGTTGCAGGATCTATTCCTTACAAACTCAAGCTAATAAGTGTTCATTCTAAGACCAACAGCTTGACATCTGTGCTAAGCCTAACTTCTACTCTTATGGCACCATTTGGAGGTGAAATCCTAAAATCCCAAAACTTGGAAGTTAATGAAAATGTTGTTTATCAGCAAAAGTGCAGAAACTGAGATGCAAACAAGAGCTGCTGCCTGTAACTGTCCAGCTGGTCACAAAGCAGTGATGCAGATTTGCTTCACTTGGAAACATGCAGAAAGGTAAGAATTCCTAATTTCTACACAGGAATATCAGAAAGCCACGGATCTACAGGCGAGCTGCTTTTACACAAGATGAGAGAGCAGATGAGTTTGTTGGACAATCTATAGCCTACAGCAGGGATCAAAAAACTTCCATTCAAGCTTTGAAGCAGTAAGCGCCAGGGCAGGTTGCAGGCTGACTGAACTTTGTCAAAGGACAATTCATTAACTCTGGCTGCTCTTCAGAAATACAGCTTGGAAACCAGAAAAAATAAAAATCTCAAGATGGGCTGAAAACTTATTAGGCCATGCCCCATCATCTATTTTGCAACCCTTTTATTTTTGCACTGGCTTGTGTAACCTGAGAATATGTACCCATTATTTTACCCAATCCTTGCGAAAGGAGAGACTCCTCAACCTCTTTTACTATTATATCTTAGAACAATGGCATCTACTGGCTCATCTGGAAATATTTTTAATATTGCAGTATCTCCTCTCTGTGTTTATGCAAGTTCAGTTGCTGCGTAAGAAACAACCTTCAACTCTCCACTTCACGTGCATTTTCCTTTTTGAATAACCTCTGTGCAAAATGTATCCTTGCAAAATCATTGGAAAAGACTTTAAAAGAAACCTAAATCACTCACCTGGATACACGCCAAAGGCTCATTTGTCCAAATTGAATAGCCGCCCACTAAATATATTCTACCATTGTGGACAGCGACTCCAGATTCATTTTGACCTAAAGCAAAAAAAGGAAAGAGAAACCACTTTCAGTGTTTAGTTAACCCTTTTAACACCGGACGCTGGAGTTCTGTAATAGGACGTAAACGCACCTGGTAGTAACTTGACTATTTCAGAATTCACAACACATAAGAATGAAGGTGAAACACGAGGGCTGCTCTTTGCTCTCTGCAGGAGCCCCGTACGGTGCCAGCGAGAGAAATACCCCAGATAAGCAATAAGCTGAGGCGGTGCAGGGCACCATCTGCTGTCTCCTCAATGGCACAGGTTTCTGTACGTACGTATTCCATAGGTGACAGGCGAGCTCTCCACCTGCCTCCCAGCATCTCTCGCATATGAACGTCCAAACAGGCACGTGCAGTTAGAGAGCTGAGCGTCCCTCATGTTCTGCCCATACCTGTTCACCCCCTGCCTGCAGTGCCAGTACTTTTGCAGTTGCAAATCAGATTATGACCTTCTCAAAGGCTGTCAATTCCTCCAGATAATAAAATAAAATAATTAACTGGAGAGCAAAAGGGATATAAAAACGATCTGTTTGACAACGTGGAACTCCTTTTTAATCTATGCCACCCTCCCCAATGTCCATGAAGCGCTCCAATATCCTGACACCAAAACTAATCAACCCAGAGATTAAGAAACCCAATGCAATATTTTAAAGATCAAAGTTGCCAGTAGAGCAGCTTTTAAACCTACCAGGAGGAAAATGCCATAAGGTGACTGTCTTATTTGTCAGACATTCCTTTCTCTGACATGGTGTTTCTAGCTATCCTGAGCTTCTAGTTAAGCTCTTAACATGCTTTGTATCCTTTTCAGCACAGATCTCAGAAATCAACGCAATGCCAAATGGAAAAGGATGAAAAGAGAGGTAGGCTCCGTTCTAGGACGCCTATAGCAGCCTGCGCTGAAACTTTTTGGCAGCCAGTACTGTTACCAACTGAGCTCCAAGTTTGCTGCACAAGAGAATGGCCCCGACATTCATGTTGTTGCACTCTGGAAAACCATCCTTTTCTGCAAAGCTACTGTTGGTGCTACTCTGAGAAAGTGTCACATGTCTGTCTCTCCCAGGGATTCGAGGGGGTAGTATCTCTGGGAATTTATCAGGTTGTGATGAAATTTGGTGAACTAGGGGGCTGGACAGAGTTGCAGTGCTTTTCAAGTTGCTGCTGTAATGGTTCTTCCTAAGGACAGTCAAGAACAACTTTACAGATCCTGTAACTAACTGAGCCACTCAACTCGTCCCTGACCTTGACAGAATTCCAATGAGGACATCTTCTTTTGGGTAATTTGTTAAGAGGACACTATTTAGAAATAAGTGACAGTTAATGGATTTCAATGGAAGCTTTGCCCTATGATGCCAGCAGAAAGCGCTACAAAGATATTACAGCAGAGATACACCTGCCTGTTGCACACTCAGAGAGGGAGCTAAATCTATCACTGCAGGCAAGCTTTTGGAGAGTCAAAAATAAGTACTGGTAACACTATGGCAAAATAGTTTTTCTTTAAATTTATGTGCACCTTATTAAAAATTTAGTCTACGATGTCCTAAAACAAATGATTTGTAGAACACTGAAAGACAGAACAGTAATTGAAAGTGTCGCGTTGGCTGAAGATGGTCCCTAAACAGGAAGCAATTGCAGCGAAGTCACGGAGTTCCACATACTAAGTTCATTTAATGGGAAAAGAAGTGATGGTATATTTTAATAGTAGCCCCTTTTGGTGTGCAGTACTTGCCTGTCAACATGTTGAAGCTGCAGCGCGTCCATTGGTCGGTGTCTATGCTGTAGGAGTCTATGTGCCGAACCAGGATTCGATCATTGTTGTAGTCGAGATCATTCCCACCGAGCACGTAAAGTTTCCTTTGGACAGCAGCCATGGAGTGATACACTCTCCTCTGCAGCATCGGGCTACGGCTTAACCACTTATTCTGCAAAGAGAAAGAGAGAACTTGTCTTAGCACGGCTCAAAGACATCCCTGTAGTAGTCACACAGTAACAGTAGCATGTTACTGGTATTCTCCTTATCCCTGGCCAGAAATCACAAGTGTATATACTTCTGTTGTCCATGTGTTAAACACACACGTTGGCTGTAACACTGATTAGATACACAGAACTTTCCACAAGCGGTTTACAGTTCTCTCATTTACATTCATTAATTTCATGGTATTTCTTGCACTGTAGTTTTTTGTTTAGCTCATCAGGTTTCAAAGTTTTTTTCCTTCTTTATCATTCAGTGGCAAATCCTCCTTAAGCACGACTATTAGATGTCTCCTTTGTATACAGTGCTAAAACTATCTGTCCCAACTAGCTCTGTTATGAGAAAAGAGACATTCTTCTACCTTTCGCTATTCAGAAGCTTATTTGATCTTATCCTTGGGGAATGAAGCAACAGGGAAAAATAATTTCCTAAAGAATGACTCATGTATTTGTAAAGTACCCACAAAGAGAGGGTTAGCATTAAACCAAAGTAATGTCCTTTGGCATGTTTTTCTTCCTGGTTAACAACATCCAAGAATTTTACCTGTTCAGGGGAGGGGCAAGAGGACACAGAAGAAGAGCGATTAAAGCCCAGTATTTTAAACCTAAGAAAGCAATTGCTCCCACTACGCTTACCAAATCAAACAATCTGGCAACGTGAGAGACTAATTTATTTAGAGGAAGTAAAAATCCGCGAGGAAATCCTTCGCTTTCCATGTGCAGTAACTCACGAGTCTCTAATACTGCTGCCTTTTAACCTCTGCAATATAGAGCTATACATTTCCATGCGTAACGGTCGAATATTAGGCATTAATGTTTGCATTAGCAGTCCGGTCTCTTAACACCAGACTATAGACACCATCTGCTTTGCAAAAGCCTGCCTGCATCCCCTGATTATATCTTTAGCTTCCTCTGCTGCAGTGCCTGCCAGGTGAGCCGCAAAGCGCCGCAAAGGCAAAGAACCAGAGGGGCCTGGTGGGGTCATTTCTAATAAGCCGGCGTGTGAATACTAATCAGTGGTGGGGAAGCAGAGGTCACCCCAGCCGGCTTGTTGGCAGGTAGCTGTGTGCTCGGTGGCAGATGGCAGGCATTATCGACTCGCCACAAAGGCCTCGCGCAGAAGCAAGCGCCGGTGCCGAATGATGGAGTTATTGAGATTCTGTGCGAGATGCAAGCAGATGTGATGGTTTCCAGTACCCACCGTAAACAATATGCCAGCAGAATTTTTAAAAAGAGCTCGTGTGTACAAACACGAAGCGGACCTCATTTGAAGAGCGGGAGTGCACAATTCCCTGGTAACTCTTTACACGCCGGGTTTCTCGCTGTCGGCACGGCACGCTGAAGTAGCCCCTGCCACCAGTGTTTTGGGGGGGCAACTTTCACATCAGCAAGTAAAGATCAAAGTAAAAAATATACAGCAGAGATACAATATCTAAATACATGTCCTCCGCATAAGCAAATTAAGGTTGCTGCCTGTAATTACAACTTGGATTTAGGACAGGATCAGCATCTGTATAATCAGTGCCTCAAACTGCACCTCAAAAAGCAAGAGGCAGGTGTGTCATTGCCCGCTTTCTGCTAAAGGAACTGTGTGTGCTGTGCTTTAAAAAGTCGATGGGAACCACACAGAAATATCTCCTGGCACAGTTTGGTTCCAAATATAGCAATCAAAGCCCCTATCCTACAATCAGAAAAGTCAATACTCTTCCACGTGGGTGTAAATCAGGCTATGTAACTCTGATTGCAAGCTTAGGACTTTTAATTCCTAATACAAGCAAGAGGGCATAACCATGCCCTAACCCTCTGAAATGGTTACTGAGCCATGCTAACCTAATCAAAACACATACATAATGTATGAAATAATCCCTAAAAGATATTTTAGGTGCTTGGGTAATGAAATGATAGACACCCTTGCAGTTAGCAGAGTAAGTCACGACCAGGTAGCTTAGTTCTGAAAGTATGCGGAAGACAAAAAGCCCATATATGCAATTCAAAGCAGAAATGCCAATAACAAGGAGCAGTTTTGTGACGCTGACTTTGAGTATTCGTTGCCCAGGGCTGCTGGATTATGGGGAGGGGGGGGAAGAATGCGCAAAATAAATACTGTTAAATACAGGGGATTTAAGACACATTTGTGTATTTAATCTGTTTCAAACGCCTACAGACTTTAAAAACGTAATACAAAGTCAGTGTCTCCATTATTCTGTTAAACTCATGCATCAGTACAAAGTGAATTTAAAACACCACTAATTCAAATGGTCAGCATTTCTAGCCTTACAAAATTATTATATTTATTTGCTAAGAGACTTATCTGAAGCAAAACATTTCAGCAAAACATATACAGCACAGACACCCACCTGCTGAGGATCATAGACCATGAGCCTGTTTTGATATTGTGCAGTATTTGTTACTCCTCCTGTGAAAGAGTTCACACAGGTTACATTTTTTGATATAAGCAAAACCAGGACCAAGATCAGGTACAGGAAAATAACCAATTCCGGGCTTCATTTGCTGACATAATTACATTGCATACTGCCACTTATGCTTACATTCTACTGCACTTTTTAATCTGGTTACAAGGTAATAAGTAGCACGTTTGCCAAACATCTAGAAACACCAAATAGCAACAACAAACACCCTCACCACGTGCTTCCTTTCTAAAGCTAATTCTACGGGCTAAAAATGAGATAGAATTGATCTGTTTATAAATGACTGCACATTCAGCTATCATGAAAACATGAAGATAAAACCGTTCCCTGTTCCTAGAAGTGTGCGCTGTCTGGCACAGTTTGAAGGAGGAAGAGGTGGGATTGCATCAGGAGGATGAGGTTGGAGAGAATCTCTGCCTAACCAGGAGCGTGACGTGGGACACCACTGCCAGCTGAAGTAGAAATGTGCTCACCTGGATATATGATGGAAATCCTGTATTTACTCCATGTTATAGAGAGAACATCTCCTGGCTTAGGTATAGACTTACATTGGGAGTTTCCTCCGTAGCAACCAGAAACAACACTACCATTTACTTTTCAATAATATTTAGAAAACAACGTATAAAGTACTTCAGAAAAGCCCAGAATAGAGCCTGACCCCAGCAGATGCCACAAACCAACTATTTACCTCAACACTGTATAATGCCTGATCATCCCGCTCTCTAATTGCGTTTAAATGGCAAATATAGCTGAGTAAACCAGTGGAAAATTCTCATCTCAAGTCTCTAATCTTTCCTGGATGTTCTCGAGTGTGCTCAAGCTTCCTGGGGACATGGGGTCACTGCAGCACTGCCACAGGTCCCAGCTGCCCCTCTGTCACCACCCCAGGCCCATGGGTAGATGGGACCAGAAATAACGCCTGCAAGCTGTACCTCAGCTTTCCTCCTACCAGAAGGTCTGGACCTAAGCAGGTCATGCCAGTGGCTACACACCAGTGAAACTTGTATCGCTAGACCTTCTGTATCACAGTTTTAACAGCACGTGCCACTGATGGACAAAATCCACAGCAATCAGAGGAAGGAATTCCACCTGTCATTACATTTGTTGATGTTTCTTTTTTTGTGAGGATATCCCCTGGCTTCAGACACAGCAGCAGTGCAGAGCGGCTTTCCTTCCTGCTGGATGAGCTGTGGCCCAGACCTACCAACGCTGCTGTTTGTTTTTTTCTTTCATTCCCAACCAGTGCTAACACAGCCCCGTGCTGGGGAATCCTCATTTTGCAGCCTCCAGCTGCAACTAACTCAGCATTTTGGTTCAGAGCCATACTCCCCAACCTTTCATGTGTCATTTTAGGCTGTAGAGTGGGACTGGTGTGCATTCAAGCTAAACCAGAAACTCTGTTCCAGATGTGCACCAGCTGTGCTCCAGCTCCTAATGGGGCATAAGGGTACAAAATAATAACCTGTCTTTTGGATGGCTTTGTACCACGTGAGTACTGGGAACATTTGATCCAGAGGACCAGAATAAATCTAGCCCAAAGCAAAAAAAAGGTGAGCTGTACATGGAGTGGACATACAGAACTCAACACCAAAGCTCCATCTGCTGATCTGCTCCTACCGGGCTGAGCTACTTGCTAACACAGATGTACCTTCTGATCACTCCAAATAACTTGAGTGAGATTCTGACCGATGGATCGCAGAAAGTACAGACAAATCTATTCGAGTCTTGTCCTCAACCACAGTAGCAGGGAGGAACACCACCATTATTTGGGTGCACCTCCACCAGCACCAGCCTGTACTGGGGCCCCTATGCATGGGCGGCAGCACAAGCTCCCAACTGGGAGGCGCTTACAGGCTGAGCAACAGCGGAGATGAGATGGGGTCTTTCCATCACCCTGTGCCACCCGCTGCCCGACACAGCACCTGGGAAGCACAAATCCAAGAACACACATTGGAAAGCAGTGACTGTTCCCAAGTCTGATTTCACAATCTGTTATTTGTCTCTACGCTGTTGTGCCACTTCAGTGTTAGTGGCCATCAGCCACAAGCACCAAACAATCTTTTCCAATACCTATTTTGTAATTTGATTTTCATTTACACAGTTATTTTTGCTCCTAGTGGAATGTTCCAAAAATGAGATGTCAGATTAGTATTTTGTAAAATAAAAAGCACAGTTATTTGGATGATTACTTCCAGAATGGCAAAACTACAGGAGATGTATCTGAAGCACAACACTAGGACATGTGTTTCCATTCAGAAAGGACACCTTAGTTTGGGGGGAAAGATGTGCAAGAAGATGAGGAAGGAGGAGGTTGCTTCCTCATAAAATAATGAAATAATCAAATAAGCAAAATTATTTGCCTCTCTTCACAAAGAGCTCCTCGTATCAAGTGCACAGCTTACATTTCTTCCCCTGCAATATTGCTCATCTGTGGTGTTTTATCATTACATTCCCTTCACATACCACTCTTCACTTTTAGATTAATCTGCCAAAATGAGATGCTAAGGATTTGCATACAGATTTGACTACACAAAAATAGATCTGGAATTAATAACAGTCTCTATATGTTTTAATTTCTTCTAGACTGGAGTACCCTTGCCTCCAGCAGTATTCTTGGCTTTGAAAGTCATCAAGCTGATTTGTCTGCTCTTAGGTTATGATGCCACATGCTGCTACACTGTCCCCTGCAATCAAAGTGCTCGCAGAGATAGATTCCATGCCTTCCCCTAACAAGTATATTTTATAGATTGGCAGTTTTGATCTCCCCTCCCCAGGGGGATAATCTGCATCTTAACAGGTTCTATAGATACATCTGTCATTAAATATGCCATCTTATATCTGCATCAATTTTCAAACTCAAGTTCCTCCTAACTTTGAAGTGCTATAGCAAAAGTTTAAAATTTTCTGCCAAAATTCAAATTTAACAAGTCTGCAATGTCCTCTTGAACTATTTTTTTTTAAAAAAAAAATACTCCAGGCAGCAAGGAAAGGGCAAAAGAAGAGCAATACGTCTCTTAAAAAATAGGGGGGAAAAGAAGAGTTTAAAAAGTTTAAATTACTAAGAATAACACATATCATCTCAGAAAAAAATGGAGTAGTTTCTAAAACTTCTCTGCAGCGTTTCTGCAAGAAAAGGCAGCATCATAATAGGACTTGAAAAGAAGTATTTAAAAATACAAACATGCTATTCAATTTGGTATCAAGCAACAACAGTTAACATGGCAGTAACCCACCAGTTAAAGAAAGAGACGAAAAATGTCTGGCTGGGTAAATGACAGAAAATTTACAGTCCAGGCAGCACCTGCCGGGTTTTATAAAGAGAGCGATGATTGCGCCACTTGATATGAGCAGCTCGCTCCAAGGACGAGCATTTCTGGGAGGCAAGGAGCACCCTCAGGACAAGCTTGTGTCATTCTTGCTCTTAGAGACATGAGGACACACTCACGGAAAGCCAGCATCCAACCCTTGGGTTTACAATGTCTTTATACTGCCACAGTCACTGCTCCTCACTTCCCCGAAGGCCTTAAAGCCTGCTTTTTAAAGCCCTCCAAGACCCTTACATTCCCAATTCAGCAACTTCGACATGAGGAAGTTGCTGGAGAATTCCAAGACTCACCTTGTCCAGCTAGTACTGATACATGGGAAATATTTTGGATTGTTACAGTCCCCTCAAAAGTCCACAAACTGCACTGAAAAACCCCTTCAATAAAGATGCTTCCAGAAAGAGAAGAGTTGGAGGCAGTAGAATCAACACCATTTTCCCAATTGAAAATTTATAATCCATATTTATACCATGTCCTAGTACGACCCCCAGATGACTCGAAAAAACTCATCAAATCCAAATCCCCCAGAAAATCTCACAACTCTCTCCGAAGTCCCCAAGTGCTAGGCTGCGTGCGTGAATCCGAGTTCACTGAGAGACGTGTAAAACTACATGTTGGCAAAGAGCTCCCACGTGTACTCCTTCCAGCAAATCCAGGGAATTTATAGAAACTCATGACACGCGCCCCAAGGTGCTCTGCTATTTTAAAATAGAAATCTCTCCCCTCTTATGTGTCTGTGTGTTAAACACGAGATAATCCTTCTTCAACATGCGAGCAGGCTGCCTTTTAGTCAGCCGGCCCAGGTGCAGAGGGGACAGCTGAGCTGAAGCACATTCTCCCACCCTAACAAGTCCCCTGGCAGATGCCAACAGCAGCTCCAATTAACACTGTTCCACCCCCAGATGCCATCCAGCTGCAAAGAGCTGAGCCCAAGTTTGTTTGTGGGTTGTTGGATTCCTGTCCTTTAAAAAAAATCATTAAAGCCTGATGTTTATATTCAATCTATGAAGAATCAATGGCATCAAAATTATAATCTCCATGCTTGAAAAGCGCAAGATCCATTATCTTCATTAAGATATAACAACAACAACAACAATAATGAAACACTGTTCCATATACAAAGACTGGGCCAATTTTTACATACTTGTTAACTCCCTGCCCCTGGTAATTTCTGTGCCAGCTGCACCACAAAACTTGGTTTGTTCAGACACTGTAAATCCTATTTATCCCAGATCTATTTTCATAAAAGTGGTTTATAGGTGTTTACTATGAAAAAAAAAATTCTTCTCCTCACAACAAACAGCATACTGATACTAAGATAATAATTTCCACCTCAAACCACTTGCAAATTCAGAATAATTCTCCAAGGTATGTGATCTCCACCATTTCCGTGGCCAAAATGACAATGAAATATTTTGAAGGTCCCTTCCAACCCCCAACATTCGGTGATTCTGTGAAATACAAAGCTGTTGTATACGATTGGCTTGTTTATATCCTCCCCCGGAGTTTCCATGTGCATGTCAAGATGTGATTTTAGTTGAGGGGCTTCAGGTCAGGCAACTGGAACCTCTGTGAAACAACAGCGAAATACTTGGGTTTAGTAAAGACATTTCATGTGCTAATCTCTTGAGCACCTGAGGTGGAGGGGAGGCCTCCTTACCCGCAGCTGCAGGGATAGGAATGGCTCAGAGCTGAATTGCCTGGCAGAGGTTCCCTGCCCCTCTCTGTCCCCAGGGGCACTACGCCTATAAAGGAAGAGGAAGGTGACGGGTACAGAAAAGTCGGTCTCCAGTTTGACGTGTGCACACCATGGAGAATGCAGGGAAAGGGGCAAAGTTCAAGTTCTCACTCTTATGGAAATTATTACCCTGTTTTTATAGGGAACGATTGTTAGTAATGTTGAACTCTAAAGGGTTTCGTGCATTTTGTCTCTCTTCCGCTCAAATACTTCACTTTTCAAGCATGTGGCATACAATTCGGTTGTGAAATGGGTCACGGTGTCAGATGTTAGCTGGGGCCTGCAGGATACATCTTTCTATAAAATTTCAAAACCATCTGCCCAATGCTGTACTGTCAGTACAGAAAACTTGCTTTAATGAATTCTCAACTACTTTTAAAAAATAATAAAATAAAATGCAGGCTGTGAAAAAATTAAAAAGACGAGAAAAAACAATAATAGACAGAAAAATATGTTCCACAATATACGGAGCTGAGAAACCTCAAGAGCTGAGCCCAGTCTTGCTGACCAGAGGGTCTGACTATTTTGCAGAGAGCAGAAGGCTCTCTCTGAGCCTTCTGGCAGGTTAAAAATCCCAAAGCGGTGGTGGCAGCTACGGAGTCCTGTCACCTGAAACATCAGCCACCCATCTCCTACCATCAGCGTGCGCTTATGCTTATGCTGTATTTTGTTCAGCACGCTCCCCTTCCCTGCTGCCTTTGCCGTGATTTTATGCTCTGTTATATTGGATTCGCTCTCATATTTGTTCCAAAGGAGCAGCAAAGTAAAGCTGCAAATGAATCCCCAAAATAGTAAAAACAGTAACCCCTCAAGTCCAGTCAGCTTCTGGTTAGCCCAGACTTCAGCAGACAAGGCGCTGCAGCAGAGGCACTGATGCTTTGGCTACTGAGTGGGCAAAGAGCTGGTGTGCAGGCCATGTTTTGATGACTCCCTCCACAAACACAAGGGCTAGAAACTTATTTTTACTCTTTAATTTATTCACTTACTAAAAAACTGGACATATTTTCATGCTTATCTTGGTTGTAGCAGACTGACTTGGAGAGCTCTTGCCGATGACTCGTATTTCCCAGAAAAAGCAGCAGGGATACACCTCAGAAACATCCCTAACTTAGACTATTTTTAAAATTATTTAATTTTAGGCCACAGACTTCAAAATTAGGGTCCCTTCTGCATTACTGATTACTCTTATGCTAACACCTTATATTTCATGATGAACAGTGGACTTTTTCAGCAGGGACTACTGGCATTTTTGGAACAACAGAACATCTCTCTCTACTATTCCCCTGCCCCCAAATATACACATACAGTTAGCTACATTCTGGCCCTAAGCAGTTAATAATAGAAAGCTAGCTACAGTTACTGCATTTCCATCTACTTTTATTTTTAAAATAACTCAATTCAATACACAGAAATCAGTTTTCAATTTGTGAGTACATAATTCAGATTAATACTCTACTGAAGTATTGCGTAGTACATTCTCTCATACTTCATAATTAACCTGTTGGAATTTAGCAAGTCAAACCTGCCAAGCATTTTCTCAAAACTATACAAACTAGAACTGGAAAGTCCTGTCTTATTCCACTGTCAAAACACTGCTCCTTATCACAGCTTTACAACAGAAGTTATGTTGGTAGCATTTTCAAATACAAATTGTACAATACCAATAAAATATTTCTGGTTGCTGTGCCTAGTTTTAAAGAGTTCATCCAATAGGCTTCCACTTACCTCCTCCTCTGATTCCACAGCTGTATTGGAGGCACATCCTTGAATACAATATCACAGTTTCATTATATAAATGTCGATAGTATATACACACACAGAAAGGCATTTAACTTAAGTAACTAAGCACAGCATAATTTTCCTTTCTCTAATATATCTGGAGTGATTAAAAGCAATCTTCAACCAGTCCTATATTTGACTTTTTTCACGTACTGGAGCATGCTGACGGATGTTTCTAATGCTTGTTCTGTGATTTTATATGAATATGCTTAAGACCATTTCCTAAAAAGTCTTGTTTTCCATAAATGAAAAACTGACAAATGTAAGCCACATCACAGACACACATCTCTCTCCACTGATAAAATAGGAAAGGTAGTGAATAAACAGAGTAATGCTCTGAACACGCCCAGCTGGCATCCTCCGGCAGAAACCCTGTTTTTGTACCATAGCTCGGTCTCAAAGCCCACTGTGTGCACCCGTCAGGATTAACACGCAGCACAAACTCCACAAGACTCCTTCAACACCAGTTGCTGAAGAAAGCGACTCAAAGCACCTGCTAGGAATCCTGGTGATTTTCTGCATTCTGTCATGCTTTAAAATTCATTATTTTAGTGTCTACACATAAAAGTAGGTATCTGCTACCTCCCCCACCAATGCTTGGGAAACCATTCCCATAAGACACTTAATCCATACAGGCAGAAAGGTATGTCTGCAAGTTGCTCCATTAACCTAAATGACGTACTTTGAGAAGCACAGGAAAGGCCTAAGTAGCTAACTTAATCTCTCATTCACACATTTATCTTTTCACCAGAGGCATCCCAGACCGTACCAAAATTCCCAGAGGGTATCTACAGCGAATCACAAAATCACAGAACATTTTCCTCAAGGGCTGGCCCCATTTCCTCATTAACTTCCTTGATAAATATTGCAACTTTATAACCTTTCATGACACACTCCTGTACTAAAAGATGGATATTTTTCTGTCAAATCTCCTGTAGACAGCACCGATCTTATTCCAAAGTAACTAATGCCACTACAAAGACTGACAACACAATTTCCTCAAGTCCTGTCAATGTGCATGTGTAAAATACGAAGTGCACCGGACTAACTTGCAAATGATATACCGGTTTAAGACACACGGCCTATACTTTGATCTATCTGTGCCATAAGGCTATGATTACATTCAGGCAGTCCTTTGCAACTGTTATCGACAGCCAGAGCTGTGCATGATTTCTAACAAAGGTCATCATGGTCTGGTACATCCAGAAGAGCAAGTGAGAACAATTCCTACATCCACCTTCAAGCCCTGGATTGACACAACCCAACAAGCATTTAATTCTCCATTCTGTTACCAGGAATAAATGCAGTGTTACCAGATCACACTACAGAAACTGGGTCTTGTTTCTTCATGTTTAGGAAGCGCACAGAATATTCCACTTGAAATTTGTCCAAACGTGCATTTTCATTCCAATTCACAGTGATTTATGAATGGCAACTGGAGGTAATGTGTATGATATATGCAGCTTTGAAACACAGAAAGATATTTAGCAGCCAAAAAATACTGTATAGGCATGTTATGCTCGCACATTTCTAATTAGGCTTGATTGTATGCTCCCAGGCTTAAACTCTTTGAAATATCCATCTCCTAAGATGAAAGTTATCACGACATAGACACCAAAGAAGATTTATTAATTTCATTCAAGACAGTATTTTGATATCTTGTTAATACCTCAAACCATGTGAAACGTTTTCTACCTGATATCCAAAGAAGACCATCCACCACATATCCTGCGTGGCACGAGAGCGATCGATCAAAGGACTGTACAAAGGTCCACTTGTTCTTCTTGGGGCAATAGCGTTCCACCGTAGGCAACACCTGACGCAATTCATTTCTGCCTCCTACTGCATAGAGGTACTTGTCCACTGCTCCCAGCACAAAGTGCTCCCGGCAGTTCTTCATCGGAGCTATCTCTGCCCAAGAGTTAGTGCGGGGGTCGTAGCGGCAGGCGGTTCTCACGGCACACGTGCGCCCCGTGGAGTGCTCTGCCTCGCCGCCAGCTACAAACAGAAAGTCTCCCATGACAGCGACACAGTGGTGACTTCTCCCGACAGGCATAGGCGCCAGCTCGCTCCAGTTCGCGATCCCTGCAATGTGAACGTTCTCTTGATCCACCGGATTGAAGTAGCGCAATTCTTTCACTTTACAGATCTCCCGTTTTTTCCCGCCGATAATGTAAAGAGTGTCTGACTGGAAGCGAGGTTTTGTCCTTCTGGTTTGCCAAACTGGCTGTGCATAGATGCTCTGGTGGTAAGCCAAGGCCTCATTGATAAGTGCGGTTGCGGTTTCACTAGCTTGGACGAGAGGATGAGAAAGAGCTACGGTGTGCAGTGTATCCACATCCATAAGGCCAAAGCGGACATACTGGAGAAGTTCATCCATGTACTGGTAGCGGCAGCTGTGTTCCAACCACCTCACAGCCAGCTAAAAGTTGGGGGAAAGAAGGGAAGAACAAGACACCAATTATTTGCGTGCAATTCTGCCAAAATTTGATCTGTTAAAAACCGCCTGCACTCCAAGAGCCGCCATGTACTTGCCTCAGTGGTGATACCAATCCACATAAAATGCAGTTATGAAAGCACGTGACTCAACATAAGATACCTACTAAAACTCCACCTAAAATACACATAAAAGCATTGCATTGTACCAGCTCCCCTAAAGACTTTTCACAGCATTATCAGATTGCAATACTGCTATGCAACACTCCTCCTGGGCAAAATGCTAGTGGTGCTGTAGGAGACCACAATATCCCAGAATCAAAGCTGCTGGAGCAATAATGTACATGTGGGGACTATGGGATCACTGGACACCAACAGCTACATTAGAAAGAAAAGTAAGGTTACAGTTAGACAATCAGAAAGAAAAGCCCTTTCTCCCCTCCAAGTTTCATTCTATTTGTGACAAAATATTAAAGGAATTGAAAAAATACATCCTGAATCTTTTACTTTTTCTTTCTTCTTCACTTATTTTATTCACAAAGTGAAGAGAGGTGTAAAGGGATCAGAAATCAAGTGAGAGAAGAAAGAAGCAGAGAAGAGGCTCTACTGGTTTGGGATTGACAGAAAACAACAAGGAAGACTCTAAAATTGTTCAGCAGTTGCAGCTGGTATCAACAGCCAAAATTAAACATAGCCTTTAAATTACTTAAAGCATATTGAATCCAACCAGGTCTAAAACAAGCCTAGAAAGGGCGTAAAATATTTCAGAGATGTCGTATAAGTTATTATTGAAAAACTCCAGTGATGAAGATATCCAAACTCCCTCAGAATAAAAATTTACATGCTCAGCTATCCTCTCAGGTTTTTTCTTTTGTCTATGCAGGAGCTCTAAAATCCTTCAACTCATTGCTCCATTTTCCATCTTTGGGTTTATACTCCAGAGCTCAGGAACTCCAAGACCAATCCTAGAAAAAGATCCACCCATGTAGGGTGAAAAGCAGTTTCCCGCCTTCCTTTTCTCTTCTACCTCTGACACATTTTGTACATGCTGCAGCTCCCTCTTCTCTGAATGAAAAAAAAACATCTCAGTCATCTTGGGTCACGTTTTCTAAACCTCTGTTGCTGTATTCTACGAAAATGCTCCTCTTTCTTAATATTTGCTGCTGAAAATTGGATATAATCTTCCTCCTAAGGATGTAGTAGTAGCAGGTAGATAGATGGGAAGGATCTCTGACTAATAAATCTATGTTGCTCCTGTTTGTACAACACTACACAAGACTTGTCAGTGCACTGTGATATTGCTGATTCATGTTTAAGCTTCTGACTTTTCCAATCTCTCTTTTCTGCAGAACTTCCACAAAGCATCACGTTTTCTCTGTCGTTACTGAACTCTATTTACTTCAGGCTACTGCTCCAATCTGTCAAGACCATTCTCAATCCTACTATTTCTAGAAGTGCTTGAAGACCATTCCACCTTCTGATTGTCTGAAAACATAAACCCCATATTATGCTTTAATCCAAGTCATTAACAAAGACATTGACTAGTTCTAGATGAGGACAAAGTCCTCTGCTTGACACTTACTGAGTTTCAAAATGTGCGTTAGCTACGTGTATTTAGATACATTAGTAAAAAAGGCATTAATTAAATACATTTGAAAGTGTTTATGAACTTGAAATCATTAAGCATTATATTCACATGTTCTAAATGCACCAAATTCATATGTCAGGTGCCTCCTACCAAGTCGTTTTCACAGAATCACAGAATGTTAGGGG